CCTAATCAGGTCAAAAAAGACCCAGCTGGGAGGTCATCATTAACTGTCTTTGGGATCCTTAGTAAGCAATCTGCCACTCTTAAACGCACTCAGTCTTTACCTTACCTAATTTTTGTAAATGTGCAGAATAAGCAGCGTTTACTTAATGGTAGTATATATCAACACAGGATCAGAATAATGAAAATCTCTAAGGTAACACTTTCCTAAAAAGATTGCCATTCTCATAAAACACCAAACCTTAAAGCATCACAAGGGAAACATTTCATTAAGTTAAACTGCAGTGATTTGGAAAAGACAGCAATTCCTGTACAGTAGGAGCCTGCATATATAGAGAGCCTATGTGTGACATGAAGCGTGCACACATGATTGTGAGCAAGGCTGGAGGGACAGAGCGGTGTTCATTATCCTCTTTATGGATAATCAGCTGCAGCTATGCACATAATGTGTAGTTTAAGTCTTAATGAGAAGAGCCTTAATATGCCAGGTCCAAAATGACAAATCATTCCACGCTTAACATCCCTTAAAAGAATTAAAATGCTAGTAAAGTCTTGTTTACAAACTAGACACATTTATCAAAGTGTCCTTTGTTTTTTTAGAGATACATTTGTTAAAGGGCTAGGTTCTTCCAATTTTACAGGCTTGGACAAGCAGTCACATTTGTAGTAGATCTGGTGGATCTGAGAGTATTGTAGGCTGGTGTTACCCACAACAGGCCTGAAAGCAGACAATCTTGTTATAGTCTGGTTGTATATGGTGGTCAGTGGTGCCAGCAGATACATTTGATTGTTCTGCCAGGTTTGGCAAAGTTTGTGGAGCACAAAACAATATGAGATAGTGGGCATTATATAACAGGACTGCCTTCTACTTCTGACCTAGCCAATAGTGTTTATCATTCCTAGTCTGGCCCTTCTTTCCTGCATCCCAAATGAGTAATAATGGCAAGCCTAGGTCCAACATAAAATATGTATTTTGTCTCAACTGCTGCATCCTTGCTGTCTTTTGTTTGGAATCAAATAAGTTACCTAGATTTTTTGAAGACCCCCTTCAAAACCCTATTTCTGCTAGTATGGAAATTTCCAAAAGGGGAGATTCATGGCTTAAAGCACAATGAAACAGAAGTGGCTTTACAGTAGCAATTTACATCAGTGCACCTTGCCATTTGTGGAGTAAGTAAGAGGTATCCATCAGCATATCAACATTAGGTTGTCATATACATTGAGAATGCCCATTATAACATGACCTTTGGCTGTCACAGGTAGATAGTTATCTGGACAGATAACAAATGTATCAAGAGCAACAGGCAGGGGAGAGAATACTGAAGGACCAGACCCCCTACAAGGAAATACATTATCTCTGTGTAATATTAAGCTTCTCTCTACTGGTCAAGGTGGTCATTATCTCACCTTGGAAGCTTAGACTTGGCTGAAGTCTCACAAGCAATGCTTGATGTCAGGTTCATCACTTGCTATTATTGAGTTGTTTATATGGGTCTCTCTCACTTGATCTTTTTCTTAGGTCTCCCATCATCACCCATTCTGCCCGTTCAGAACTTCTCTGGGCAGGTGCAACAACAACTAAAACATACACAACAGGTTTGTAGTAGTGTCTTTGTTCTTTTCTCCATTCGCTCCAGAAACATTGTTCTGACTTTTTTCCCAAATTCTTCAATCGTCTACTGATATAAAGGATGTTTTATTTTTGCTACTAACCAAGTTACAAACTTCAAAGTGCAGCCTGGCATTCCCATTGTCTGGGGATATACATATAACATAGGACAGGAACATGGCACGATCTATGTTTGATCTGTGATATAAAAGATGATTGTGTGTGTACAATGAATTCTTTGTGCCCATGTGAACTCAATCTGTCTTGGCAGGTGTGCTAATATTAGGAACAGCTTTCTCCAGGTGTACAATGGAGAGAAATTCAACAAGGCTGTTTTTCATAGTATTGTCTTAATAAAAGTCTTTGGCTGACCCGTGTTGCAGCTCCTCCAACAGAAGCCACGGTTTTTATGTTTTGCAATGATGAGTGCTAACAAACTTAAAACAGCTGTAAGCATGAACTTCATGCTTTATGTTAGAAGAGATAGTATGGGAATATCTCATTTTTCAAGACAGCAAAGGGCTCCTAGGACAGTGAAACATCTGTATAATTACCAATAAAAGCAGGCATTATTTTGGTTTTAAACATGGTAAAGGTCCCTTTTACGGTGGTCTTTATACATAAGCCATTTTAATGTTTCATGTAAATGAGCTCCTGATATGAATGCAGGCTTAGGGAAAACTTTCAGCAGTATCAAACAAGGTTTTATTCTGTAAGTGGAATTGGGATTTTGTTCACTTATTATATAGAGAGGACATATTCAGCAGCACTTAATAGACAGCATCAAACAATTCACACCACTTCCTCTTCCCTAAACAATTAAAGCGCAACTTTATTCTCTCAATCAACACTGACTATTTTTAATGCTTATTCTGCTAGCATTTGTGAATAGCTAGGAAAGCATATCTTATTTACTTGTTTTCAATATTTTTTTTTACATGTTTTCAATTACTTCCTGGTTTCTGGCCTAGGCAAATGATGTCATACATCCCAGGAGTCTTATGAAGGGAAAATAATGGGGAGGAGTAGTTTTCTTAGCTAAGCACACCCTCCTGCCTCCTTGTGAGAGTTGAAACCAGAACCCAATATTGGAAAGAAGTGCCAACCACCTAGCTACAGTCCATGCTACCAATTTTCTATAAAGGAGGTGTGGCCAAGAATTTACATTTAAAGCGAATCTAAAAAAAAATTTAAATTATTGCAATTTACTAATCTCCAGATGTGGCTGCTGCATTAGTTTTCTACTTTTAAAAATATATATTTTTTAAATATATTCTTCAGATTTTTTTTAACATATAAAAACGTAATTTTAACATATATTTTTACATATATATGCAAATGCATTCCAAAAATGTAGATTTGTATTTTTAAAGACTTACAGTATATTTGAAATGTATTTTTAAAATGTTTTTCATATATTTTGTAACATGCAGTATATATATATTGAAATATATTTTGAAATATATTGAATATGGCCAAAATTGTAGTATTTCAAAATATGTGACAATATATTTGGGAAGAATATTTTTAAAATATATTTCAAATATATTTTTCTTCCATATGGGCCATTATGGTGGATTTATGAGCCTTGTAATTAATACAATAAAGATAAAGTGCTTTGTGCTTTATTTTAAGCTCCCAGAACGTAACAAGGGCACTGCATTTCTGGTAAGATCAAGAAGGTAATTTCTCTACTTGCTGGAAAAAATTCTTAGCCTGAAAAGTAAAAACTAATGCAGCCACATCTAAGCACTGGTAGACTATGGTATATTAAATTATTGTTTTTTAGTTTAGATACACTTCATGTAAGTAAATGTAAGTGTTAATTGGGTGGTTTTCTTTTTAGAAATGGTATCTTGATAGAAAATTTTAATTAATAAATAGGATTCATGCATAATGCAATTTTTCCAGCAAACTGCTCTGAGAGCTATTGCTGGGGCACAGAAAGGTTTTGGCAGCACAGTCAGGAGAACTGACCAGCTACCCAACTGTGTTTTCTCTTTGCCTTTCTCTGGATAAACAGCATTTAAACAGTTTTAGAAATAAATAGATGAAACTTGATGGATATTGATATTTATTTCGCTGTATTTTATATGTTTGTATGATGAAGATATATTTCCAAAGTTGTGCTATTTAATATGCTTCGATAATAGCAATCTATTCTACTCCAGCCTATGAGGACAGCTCACCTTTGGCTTACACAGCCCCATTGGGGGCCTAACTGAAGGATCTGTTTTACTATTAGCATTAACAATCCTGCAGATCTTAACACCTTGCAATACAGTTTGTTGACAGAGGACATGTCACTGAAGGCAGGTTGTGTTACTGTTAGCACTGCAGGATCTGTGTGTGACCCAGTCGTCTGATTTATGGACCGAAATGCAGATCAAATAGGTTTTGTCTTTCAGCCCTGCACATTTGTTGTGTTTTGTTTCCTGTTGCCAAATGCATTTTATAGGCACAGATGTGAGGCTGTTCATTGCATTACTGCGCTTGTTTACAGGCCCTAAAACACAAATAAAGTTTTCCTTGACTGGGGACTTCTGCTTCATGGGTTGTTATTTAGTAAAGGTGAAAAGTATAATAACAGGCAACAAGCTGATGACCATTCAATCCTTTTAATTATTTTGACTACCTTAAACTAAGCAGTTAATCCTTTTTATTGTTTTGACTAGGTTAAACTAACCAATCAACGCTATTTATGCTATTTTTGACAACCCTAAACTGACAAAAGGTGAAATATAACTGGCTGCTCTTGGTCATTGAAGAAGTGAAAAACTTGCAGGCAACAGCCCTAACTAGACCTCCAAAATATGGTCCCCAAAACTACAGATTTATCATATATTTTGATTGAATCTCTCATATGTGGGTTTCCAAAATTCCAGAAATTACTGCAAAAAGCAGTAGTAGTGTGCAATTTCCAAATGGTTGAGCAACAAAACATTACTGTACATCAGTGTTTTTTTTGCACCACCTAATAGCAGTCCTACCCATTACCTTACCCATCCCACTCCTTCACAGGTATAAAACAATCCTGAAACAATTATTTACACTGCAGAAACTGCCACTCTGAGAACCCACCATGGCTACCTATGGGACCAAATTTCTAGACATTTGGTTTCATAATTTCAAAAGTTGAGATTGTCTGATTCTCTCCATCCATAGAGATCATGGGATCAAATGTCTAGACATTGACTGCCAAGGAATCCCATGGTTTCTGCAATGAAGATAAGTATATCTAGACTTCAGGGAGCAGGATGGAGAAAGGAGCTAATGGATTTGACAGTAGATCTACTGTAATATTTAAACCTGGTATGTAATTGCTATATGTGACAAAATACAAGGGATAATAATGAAGCATGTATAAGAAATAAAATATAGCTTTTTTTTTATAGGTCATCCACGTTTTTTCAATCAGCTCTCAACTGGACTGGACATTATTGGTTTGGCTGGAGAATGGCTGACTTCAACAGCAAATACAAACATGTAAGTTCATATTTTTAAGTTACTTTTAAGGGAAATGTATAATATTAATAAACATAGTTGCAACAATGCTCCCTGATGCGCTCTATCAAACGTGTGGGCAAGAAATGGTTTGAAGCTATAGTTTCTTCTTCATGATCTTCAAGACTTTTTGAAAATCCAGTGACCAATTTCATCCAAAACATACCAATAATGGTATTAATATAGTTCTCAACATAGTCCCAGGCTTTTTTTCATGTAACCTTATGTAATGATCTGTGTACATAGAAATTTATATTTTTATTCTGACATGCTTTTGTGAAGCATTTCTAAAGGATTTGGAATGCAGCGTTCAAATTGGATTTTTATGCAGTGTACAATGCAGTGGTGGCAGACAAAATTTAAACAATGCTACAAGGTACAGGGAATGTGGATAAGTATCATGTTTGTTTGCTTAAGTATCTTAAAGTGTGCTCTTTTGTGTGCATTCAATCTATGTGCATTGCAAGGACTTTAATGAACTTTGTAGCAGATTCATACCTGTTAATGTTCCTAAGAAATAGCTGTTGGTTTCCCTAAAACCTTTCTCAGACTGATGCTGAATGGGAGAGTCAGCCTTCATTATACCCACCAGAGTAAATTTCGGTGTTCTAATGAGGAAAGCTGCACATCTACATCCCTTCAGTAGACAAGCCTTAGGTAGAGATACATCAAAAATGAAATTTCTCTTATAGGGGATGCCTGAAATGTTACTGCCTAAATCATTCAGCCAATCAAAGAAGGAGAAAATGTATATTTGAAAGGGCATTTAGAACATCATTGGTGTACAGAATGCATCCTGGTTGCCATGTTGCATTGCATCCTTCTAGATTGTAAGCTCCAAGGAGCAGGGCCCTCGAATCCCTCTTGTATTGAATTTGTACTGTTACTGTACTGTTTCGTGTACTGTCTCCCACCATAATGTAAAGCGCTGAGCAAACTGTCGGCGCTATATAAATCCTGTATAATAATAATTTTATAAATAGTTTTAGAAAATGACAGTGAATGCAGATTGAAATAGAAAGGTAGTTTCAAATAACATTAAATTTCAAAATGGCTTGTGTAGCATTTTTATTTTAAAGTGGAAATTTCCTTTAAAGAAAACCTTTACTGAGAGGAATAAAAAGGCAATCACTCAGTCTGCCTTCATTATAATTGATTACTGTTTATGCTCTTGAATACTTAATACCGGATCAAATTGGGCTACTTTGGTCCTAATCAGGTTCTCTATGTTGGGTCAGTGCTGGCCTAGAAGGGTTGACAAAAACAGAATCTTGAAACTTCTATTAAACTAAATTTAAATTATTTGTGTACTAAAAAGTTCAAGGAGACCCTTTTTCATTAAGAGTTATGTGACAACATGTTTAAAAGCCACCCGACTCAAGTATACTCACCTTACCAATGATCCCACGCCACTCCTGCCTTACTGCACCAGGCACTGGGATCCATTGCAACTCCTGTATTGAAGGCTATGCTGAGCGGTGGCTTAACCCCCTCCATCATGTGACAGTGTTCAGACATAGGGATTGGTTGCTAGAGCTGTGCACCCCTATACTCAGAATCAATAACCTTTCTAGCTGGTGGCAGCAGAGGCAGGACTGTGGACATGTGACCTCTAGTAATATGAGCATAACTGGAACACGGGGAAGTGTTAAGAACACACTTTCTCTTTGTCTACATGAGAGTGACAGTCAAGTAAAACTCTTATTGGTATCCATAATACTGGTCAACGAGTACCTTTTTCTCTAGACAGAGGGGCCATACATCGCACAATTGTAATATAAAATGTGTGTGACACTTGAATTCATATGTATAATAAACTATGCATTATGTTATGATGTAGTAAGTAGTAAAAGCAGTATCCCATAAAACAGCAATCATACTTCAAATCATCAGCACTTTACAACAGTTAGAAAAGTGAAACATGGTGGCTCAGTGGTTGCAATGGGTTACAGCACTTTTCCTTATTTATTAGCCTTGATTGTTTCTTTTATAAAGCCCTTAATAATAATTGATACAAATAACAATGGTTCAGTAATAAAGCTGAATAGCTACATTAATCATAATGCAACATTTTTATCTGATATTGAAAACTATTTGAGTCATATGGTTTTATCACCAATTGCAATCTATGTGGCAAAAGAAGGAAAAGTGTATTGTAACTCTCGGATACCTTTACAGCCTGTGTGGTCATTCAAATAAAACAGCTAGTGGCAATTTGAAATTGTATATTGATTTGTGCATGGCCTGAAAAGAAAACAAATAATATCTAAAATATAAGGCAATTGTTTAACATTATATCTCCCTGAGGACTGCACTTTTAACTAAATGAAGAGACACATTTTGACTTATTAATGGCTCAGTCCACCAAAATGTATGTTTTTAGGTTTATTTAGGCTAATGCTGTAGAATTAAACCACCTGTTTCTTATAACTCTCAGGGACTCTGGTGATATCCCAGTTCTTGAGTGCTTGACTCTGCTTCCCTGTTGTGATAATTATGAGAGACCCCCAGACCAAGTGCATTAGCATTTTGCCACAGGAAGAGGCAGGGGCGGACTGACAACTCATGGGGCCCCCGGGCAATAGGGGATCGTGGGGCCCCTGTGTCCTTGCCCAAACTCAAAAAAGCCTATGAAAAATGTACCAGGGGCATCTCATGGGGCCCCCTACTGACCCCGGGCCCTCGGGCAGTGCCCGAGTTTCCAAATGGTCAGTCCGCCCCTGGGAAGAGGGCACGGGTGTGCTGCCCAGCCCTACTGAAGGCATCTTGTCAAAATCTACGAGAGGCTGGCAATTGCTGGGGATGAACAGGGTTGGGCATTGCACCAATAGGTAGTGGGCAGTATGCATCCAGGGAGGAATGTCCAGAACCCAGTCATCTTGCATTCCAAGCATGCATCCCTGGGAACCCACTGCCCTAAACTGAAGTGTTGTTGAGCACAATGTCCAGCTCCAGCAGCTGTCAGATTCTCAAGATTGATAGGCTGCCCACCACAGGACTGGACAGTGCACTTCTTCCCTCCACCCACAGCTAAACACTGGAGCCATATACATCACAGACAAATGCCCAGTGTGCATGGGGCCTTCTTAATGGATGTTTTATTTATTTTATATTATTGACAATGCAACACGAAGAGCTGAACCACATAAAGGTGAACAGGAACACACAAAACTCCTAAATGGAAAGGAACATAGCTGTCAAGGAGACTTCGATGTTGGAATATCCAGAACATATAGAAGAAGCCAATGCATGACATAGGACTGAAACACATTTTTCCAATGTGGAACATTGCTGTAATGCATGTTATATGCATTAGCCCATTGTAGTGCCATTCACTTTGGATGGACCCAACGTAGTAAGGCAATGCAGCTTTAACACACAGGCATGCAGCACAACACAACACACTGTAGCACATTACTGCACGGTGGTGCGCTGTGTTTCCCAAAAGGTGGCATGTCCATTTTATTGGATATTTTGAAGGCTTGTCAGCTCATTAGTTAGGAATAGGCTGCTTTTGCATAATGCATATTAATGTGCGAAAAAAATACCTTAACACATGTAATGCAACAGGATGGCAAAGTGTGAATAGGTCCTTAGCCCACCAGGCTCCATTTATTCATAGTCTGATATTGGTAAACAAAGCAATCAATTCAGGCTCCAGCTCTTTGGAAAAGTTGTATCTAAAGTATAACTAAAGGCAAAACGTTTTTTCTTAGTTTTGAATAGAGTGTCAGGTTTTTATTGTTGTCTGTGCCCCCATTAGGGAGATTCACCCTCCTTATTTGTCCTGTTTAGTTGTCATCAAGAGTGAAAGTGCGAGAAAAAAAAGTTTTGGGTTGTCTCCAGAAGAGGAATAGAGTGGAAATCCTCTAATAGGGACACTAGTCTGATGACCCTGGAGACAACCAGTAATTCCCTCGCTTTACAGGGATTTCCTCTCATTTCCTGTTTTGGCTTTTGGACTGGAAGGGAAGAGAGATCTCCACAATGAAATAACAATGGCAAAAATGAATTGGTAGAGGTTATAACCCTCCCTTACTCTATCCAATACAAGGAAATAGGAACTTCCATCAGACATATGCAAAGTCAAAACCAGCTGAATCAGGAAGAATAACTATGTCATGTCTTTGGGCATCTTCAGGCCAATGTACTTAAAGCCTGTTGAGATGTCTGTAGAGGCAATTCACAGTATGCATTCTCCATTTTGAGCTGAAATATAAGAAATATTAATGAGCTGGAGAAAAATAACTCATGTTCTCCTCTATATTACATTTCAGTCACCCTATGCCTAGATGTTTGCTTCACTTCTATGCATTGTGACGACATGTGGTAAAACGTGTGTTAAACACATTATTCTGTGTGGAGCATTGCCATTCGCATAGAATTGCATCCCAAAGCACAAGTACAATAGGTCCTGATGAAACCATAATATAGGGCATCAGGCTGCATTAAAAAAGGTGCAGGTCTGGTCTTTCTTCTGTTGCCATACACTGGCTCTCCATTCTAAATTAATAGACTGCCCTAACTCAATGCATCTTAAAGTGTAAAAAACCAACAAAATGTACAGGAGTGAAAGGGGGCAAAATTAAGACTTGATGAAGAATAATTGTAACCTAAGAAAAGTCTTAGTTTTTCGGGAAAACCAACCATATTGCAAAGGAGGAGCTAGAATCAATGAATCCTTACACAAAGAAAATACTTTAGAGTCAATCGCCATTATGGCTACTTTTGTGGCTGGGGCATCTCTTTAATATATACTTCAAGATTTCTCTAGGCTTGCATTGTTACCTAAATGTTGAAATGCACATAAAGAAAATTAAAAAGTAGATTAGTGTATCTGTTTTAGATGATCTAGCTAATTGTCTGTTTCTATTTTCCTTTATCCATTTGACAAAAATGCCATCCTAATAAGAAAACAACACCAAATTCTTGTTGGCCATTAGAACTCTGCACTATACTCCTAAATGAAACTAATAACCATATTGATTCTTTTACCTTACTTTTAAAGATGGATTTCAAATGTGCCGGTTGATCCTATTAAATCTATGGCATCTCTCGCTCACTGTGAAAGTAGTACATGACAGAAAATCTTACAATGTATGAAGTTTTTCCTCTTCGTTAGTTGGACATTTAAGCTGGATACATGTCTTTTTGTTTTTGTCACGGATAATTAAAAAAAAAGTCATCATCTGTAATTACTCCTGACAGATATCGACTGAACCGAACAGTAAAAACAAAGTTGTCCTTGGGGGTTAGTAGATGGCAGACACTACATGAATAATTGCGTTTGATGTTTTTTTTAACTGCATTCAATAGTTTTAATTAGATTTGGGTAACTCATTGCATAAAACCTTAACCCTTGTGCTGTCATTTCTACTCCACAGTACGCCATTTTCAGTCCTTCTGTTGTGGGATGTGAGCTCTGTCAAACTAAATTAGCCCTCCATTCAAAGCTAAAAGTTTGCGTAACCCAGTTACCCATTAACATCTCTCTTTACCTTATTCCCAGAAACAACAGAGTGCAATGCACTGGAGCCATGGTTGCAGCAAGTGTAATTGTAGAGATGCTACTAGCACTATAAGGGCCTTATTGATTAAAGGGTCAGTTTGCTGAAAATATATTCAGCTATAGATGGAGCTTGAGTACTGAGCTAAGTCCTGACTTCTTTTGTCTTGGATACGTCTACTTCAAAATATCCATGCCTAAATGAAGTGTAACTTTGACAAAGCTGTGACCATTAAAGTGGTTTCATCTTCTTAACAAGCAATAAATAAGCTTTCAAACAGACCACCACTGACCTTAATAGATGCAGACAGTGTGGAGCAATTCATTTCACAGCTGAAGCACTGAAATATTTTAAGTCATTCACTCAGCTCATCCTGCTTCTTCATTGCTTATGGTTTAAAGTTTAGAGATGTATTGCTGCACTGTGCCTGCAGCTACAGAGGTTAGCAATGGCTTGTTTTAAACCTCATATATTGCTTACATTGCTATGGGAACAGCATATGACTTGACAGAACAAGGATGTTATAACACATGGGCTTCACATTTGGTTCTATAATTAAATCACTATACTGTTGGAACTTGTAGTTTGTGAACATCTGGAGGACTTCAGGTAGCATGTTTCTACCTTACTACTTTGTTTCACATATAGAACAAAGTAATTACAGATGTGATAGGTCTTCCCACAGCCAGTGTTAGGGATCGCGGCGTCCTGTCGGCCGGCGCATGCGCGCTGGCAACGGCTCACGCCGGGATACAAGCACTAGGTCCCGGCAAGCCGCAGATGACAGGACGCCGTGCATGCGCAGTGGGAGCCGGGGGCGCGCCTCGGGCGACCAATGACAGCCCGGGGGCGCATCCTGGGCGGCCAATGACAGTGCAGGGCGCGATATTTAAAGATGCCCTGCACTGTCACTGATTGCCGCAAGGTCTTCTGAGTTCCTGTATCCTGTACTTGTGTTTTTGATCCTGATCGACCCTGACTACTCTACTCTCTCCTGCATTTTGACCTGGATTGTCCTGACTACTCTACTCTCTCCCGCATTTTGACCCGGATTGTCCTGACTACTCTACTCTCTCCCATCCTGACCCCCGGCTTGTTAAACCTATCTACGGACTGACTTCTCCTGCTGACCCTGCGAGTGACCTGACGATTCTCCGCCTGCCGATTCTGTACCACGCCTCTCCCACGGGACCACTGCTCGCAATCTATCCTGCTGGGCCCTGCCGTCCTCCTCACATCTGGCTCTTCCGGTACCAATACATCCCCAGAGGTTCCCCCTGCCACTGGTGGGCCTGCTCAGAGGTCGTGACCTGGTCCTGGTCTGTTTCAAGTCCATCCATACCATCAGGGGCCCTGGTGAAAGCACAGACCGGGACTTAGACTCCACGCTTTGGGTAGGTCTGTCAAGTGGGCAGCCAGCAGCACCACCTGGCGGATCATAACAGCCAGCATTGATGTTTAGTTTCTGGGGAATCTTTGTAATGAAATCATTGCAATAGGGGGATAAGATCACCATGTGATAAATACATAGGTGGCCCATATAATGAACTTAGTGTACTGTTATTCACTTTCAAGTCATTGCAGAGTACAAAGGGGCACACCTTACATCTGGAGGAAAATGGATTTAATGTAAACATGCAAAAAAGCTTCTTTACAGTAAGGCCTTTTCAGATGGGGCGGTCCCGTCAGCAGATCCGCTTGGATGACAGGTCTTTGTCCTCTACGCTGATGCAGAGTGGACACAGACACAGGCTGCTGTTTTCTATGAGATGGTCCAACATGATGGAAAAGTGTCCAACTGATGGTGAGGTCGGCCTTCTCACCATCAGTCCTCACCATCAGTCGGTCACTCTGCCATCACGTTGGGCCATCCTAGTGGTTGTATTGGCTTTTACTTGTACCTCATTTTGTGAGTATGTTTTCTGTTTTTACATTTTTAAATAAACCTTGGATAATGCTCGAAAGAGCAGGGCCCTCGAATTCCTCTTGTGTATTGTATTGTTACTGTCTTGTCTCATGTTCTGTCCCCCTTGCTACAGTACAGCGCTGAGCATACCCTTTGGCGCTATATAAATACTGTATAATAATATAATAATAATAATAACGCGCTAGGTGTTTGCGCCACCTGTGTGCTTCTTTTTCCAGTTTTGGTTTGATCTCCCAATCAGAGGTGGGCGGCTGCGCCAAGATTTTATTCCAAGGCTACAAATATGCCTGATTCCCTGTTTTTTTATTTCCTGGCATTGGCCCTTTTGAGGCGCTGGAGAGGTTGTTTCTTTCAGTCCGATCCACCAGATAGATGGAGAACGCATCCCCATCTGTCTGTTTTTTAGTGTACAGGAACGGATCGGATACCGGCAGGTGTCAGTGGACACATTTTCGCTGACACCTGCATAGAAAGCTATGAATGGTCCGATCGGGTCCACCTGAAAAACTGACAGGCGGACCCGATCAAACTGTCATTGTGAAAGGGGTCTGTGAAGAGCTGTGAAAATGTGAAATAGACTTGAAGAACTAGTTCTGGCCAGCTGTAGATTGTTGCAAAAAAAAAAAAACAAACAGCTGGATGCATTGCTAAATGCACAAAATATAACTGAATGTTAACATTTATAGGTAATAACACCAAGGATTGTTGATCCAGGGAATTTCTAATGGCCTTCTGGCAATTTTGAACCAAATTTTTTTTTAGTTTTTTCAGCCTAACTATGTAACTATATAACTATGTAAGTAGCAAACAACACAGGAGTTTGCAGGCACCCTATTGCATAGAGACTATTCAATTCACTGTGAATGTTCTATAACATTATCATTCATTTTCAATTTCAATTTAAATTCAGAAATTTTTTTTATCATTTTAGTTTTGTTATATGCAGCATCAAAGACGTTTCTTATTTTTTTTCAATAAATTCTTTATAAGGAACTTTCTTATTAAATGATAAAGATCTTACCTGGCTTTTCTGTGTATTTTTGCAATGAAGGTTTACCTATGAAATTGCTCCAGTTTTCGTCCTGATGGAACAAATAACACTAAGGAAAATGAGAGAAATAATCGGCTGGTCTGGAAAGGATGGAGATGGTATTTTTTCCCCAGGTAAATTTTGTGAATGTCTTAAATGCCATGAAAAGTAATAGGGAATTTATGTCCAATATGAACTGCACATGGAATGCTTTCAAGCACAAAATCTAAGAGTAATAAAGGGAAGATAAAAGGCATGAATTCAAAAGGACTGAAAAGCTTTGATATAAATAATGTGAAGACACTCGCCCTGACATCTAGAAAGATGTGAAAATGGATCGTTTATGGTTCAGAGATGTGAATGACATGGAAAACTGATTGCAGTATAGGTCGTGCCAAGGTCTTTATTTTTACATGGGGTACCAAGTAAAGACTTTAAAGTGAACCTCTGGCCAGGCTGTGGACATCGAGCTGTTTACATATTCTTAACAAGCAGTAAATACATTTTCAAACAGGCCCTCACTGACCTCTGGAGCTGCAGGAGTAATGGAGAAATGGGTCCCCAAAGTTCATAACAGAAGCAATGAAATCAGGTTCTAGTCCAGTGTTTTTCAACCTTTTTCCAGTTGAGGCACCCTTGAAAAGTATATTCAGTCCTGAGGCACTCCAGTCTATGACTTGGTTCACATCACTGCAAATTGCAGAATGCGTGCAAAATTATGCGTGTTCCTAACACACAAACATACTGCTCTGTAGCAGACATGCAGGAGTGTAATTAATTCTTAATGGTACCTCCATGCATTGGCAAACATGGTGAGTTTTTTAGCGTGTTTTTTTAAAAGAAAGGGTCAGAGAATTCTTTCTCTGCTCATTGAAATGACTGCGCTGCCCAACACACAGCACAAAGCCGCACAGATATGAATCTATTTGTTCACATGTGAAGTTGGAGAGTGGTAAAACCACATGCTTCAGCTGCATTTTTACCATCCCCAACTGCTCCCACTTTGTAGAGGCAGCAGCTGGGAGTATACACTCTGTGGCTGCGACTGGAAGTATATCCCCAGGTGAATGCGGGTGTGCATTGCACGTGGTTGCGACGTGGTGATTCTGCATTTAATGGTTAAAAACAGGCAGTGAGGAGGCAACATACTGCCACTTTACTACCTGTCAAATGCCTCTGAAAAGCAATCTGACCATGGATCGCTTTTCAGAATGTACATACATGCACATATAAACACACCTGTACATAGTATATACATATACACATAGAAAACACACACATATATAAACACACACATACAGTACATACACATATAAACACACACATACGGTATACACACACACACGCATACAGTACACACACACACACACATATATATACACACGCATACAGTACACACACACACAGACCCATATAAACACACACATAGCCTTTTAAAATCAGCAGCACTGTCATGTTCTTCTTCCTGTCGAGTACTGCACTGTAAGGGGAGGAAGAGAGCAGAGAACACACTCACAAGACAGCTCTCTCTTGCTCTCACTTTCCTTGGTGTAATTACAGTCTGACAAAGCTCTCCTGGCAACCTCTGGCGGCACCTCAGGGTGCCGCGGCACCCCGGTTGTCAGTTTCTCAGCTCATCTGCTCTCTCCACCTAGCAATGACATGGAAACTTTCTAATATAAACAGAGCACAAACTTCTGGCCTTCTGCAGTAATCACAGAGAAACCTCCCTGTGCTTATACTAGAAGGGTGCCAAGTGACTACTAAGGTTCACACTAGTGTGATTTCAGAAGCAAGAACCGCATCACAATGAAAATCACTGTTTGCAATGTTGTCTGTTCACATGAATGTGAATCAATTCAGAGCAATTTTGGAAAAGGCTCCTGTTCTATCTGGGTGTAATTCCAGTTGGATTTTGAACCCATGGAAAATACAAACCTTATGAAAAGTTTCATCAAAAATCCAAGTTGCATCCAAGTAGCACTACATAATCACACTCAAAGTCGGATCAAAATCTCATAGTAGCAGTGTGAACCTAGCCTAAAGCTGTTGAAAAACGGACTTCAATACCTCTATTATGAACTTGGATGGATGGATGAATTGCTTCACAATGCCTTCAGCTAAAGAGGTCAGTGAAGGTTGTTTTTAAATCTTATTGATTATTGAGATACTTAAATGACCATAGTCTGGCCACAGGTTTCCTGTTAGTCAGAGGTGGAGACAGAAGATACATCTGTATTCTAACTAGTGAAGTCACAACATTTAAAGCTTCACTTCAACAAAAACCTGTTCTTTTAGTTTTGCGTAGATACTTATATCTGTCCTTTTTATCAAGCAGTGTTAAATGACCGCTGCTCAGTTCTCGGCATTCTCAGAGGAGATAGTTCTCATCTGAATGCCTTTTTATGAAACAGTGTAGATCGCTTCTCCGAATGAAGGGAGAAGTGATTTACAAACTCTTTGAATGCTGGAAAACGTCTGCTTTTACTATAATCTCACGAGATTACAGTAAGAGATCAGTCAAACACCATTTACTAAGCAGCGGTAAATCATCGCTGCTTTGTTTGCGGTTCCCCCGATTTTCCAGCTCTGGGCTGGAGAATCTGGAGAGAGAACACAGACCGCCAGTGAAGGGCTGATGTCGCTCCTTCATATACTGGCCATCTGTGTGCTGAGATGATCAGCGGAGAACATGTTCTCCACTGATCATCTCTGTTTCCTAAAACACTAATAATCAGAGATCAGCAATGATCCTCAGGATTGCCGCTGATCTCTGTTTCATAAAAGGACACCATAGTTTGGATTACAACTTGCTGTAGGTTCTCTGGCAACATGATTAGGGACAATCAAAACTGATGAATTTCCTCTGAATAATTGCTTATAGATTTGGCTGTCCTGGGGAGAATTACAAAATAAAATCAGACTTTTAAAAAATGAATGGCTCTGTGCAGAATAACAAAATGTTCATGTATAGTAAATTTAGTAGAATAAAAAAATGGGCAATTTGCTAAACTGCTTGGTATCCTAATCAAGTTGCTCATCACTAAACAAGACTTCTTCTCAGTCTCAGTTCTCAGTCTTCCCCACTACAAAAAGGGTGGTATCATTTACCCAGTTGATTTTTCATGTATTGTACAATTCAAAGAATGCAACAGATAGAGTAGGACTAACTAGAGTGACAACGAGCTGATTCAACAGGACTATGAATTCTGGCAAAGTATATCTCATCTGTGCAGTCCCACAGAAATATGAAAAGCCACTTGGAGACTCAGCCCTACAGAACCATCCCTATGTATATGGTAATATCAACATCAGTGGATTTAATTTTCAAACTGAACCTGTCAGATTTCTTAAACTTTTAAAAGAAAAAGGTAACTTTTCTTAAGTCAGAAAACCACTAAAAATGATTCTTTTTTTTTAACTAAAAGCATTGCTTTTAGGCTAATCCCTATCTGCCATCTACCTGTTCAATGATAAAGCCTTCATTGTCCGATGAGGCATTCCTAATGGACAAGGAGATAGTATCTGGGTATGGATTAAACTCAAAGACAGGAAAGTTGAGTCTTTAGCAAGTTAAACCACTTTCAGAGGAATACATAGAGGTGAGTTATCTCAGTCCTAATGGTAGTAGAAGACAGCTTGGGGGCTCTTTTCTTAGATAGGGATCTAGTTTCAAAAGTTTAAAATTTCTCATTGGTTCAGTTTTGTTCTTCCTTAACATGAGAAGTGAAAAAAACTGTGCTGAAAGCTCTACCACCTTCTTATTTATGTATATTGGAACTATTTCCTAAAGTACATAATGTACCTGTTTAAAGTGTATGTCACAGCAAAAATAAAAGCATTTGCAGGACTTGCACATTCCCCATATTTTATCCACTCAAAGAACATGCAAGTACATGGCTGTTGATCTTCCAGAAATACACTCAGTTCTTTTTTCTTTATTTTCTTTGTGGACTGATATTAGAAGAAGTGGTGCCTGCCCTGACCTGTTGCCTTTTGTTAAACTACGAAATCCATCTCACTCTGTAGTCTGTAGACCATGGTAACAATTAGCAGGATTTTAAGAGATAACACAGGTAGTATATACAGCATAGGACAGTTCTGAATGTCTAACACAAGGAACGAGTTTTATTTTTTCTCTTACCAACAGATACGAAACAAAACACTTTCAGAGGTATATTTACCAGACCAAAAGGAAGCAAATACGTGAAGTACATAGTTAAGGTTTACACTTTAACCAGCATTAGTGTCCAGTATGTAGCTTTACTATAAGAATGTAGCTAGCAATGCCACATACACTTACATTGTTACTAAACCCACAACAGTAAATTCAGTCTGTATATGCAGTAAAGCATGTTTGTTATACTCACTGTGGAACCTAAGAAGTTAGTTCTCCAAATTATGTAAAAAGGCTGTTTGATCCTGTCTTCTCTAATCCTCCCCTTCTTCCACAGTCCCAATCCATCTGCTGATAGAACAGAGCCTTGGAAGCAAGTTGCACATGCTCAGTTTGGTGTGCATTGTTAGAACTTTTTTTTTCTTGGGAGAGTGCATGTGATCAGCACAGGTGCAATTAGCACTGTCCAGACAGAGGGTCAGATGTCCTGCAGCCTCTTAGGACAATCAGAAGAGAATGATAACTCCTCCTACAAGCTTTAACCAGTGCTCTGTTGGACACTGATAGAAGTCACAAGACTGCTCTAACTGCTGATAAGAAAAGGAATTTAGCAGTTTATAGTTACTAAAATAATAGCATTCCATGTTATGAGTACAGTGGGAGACCAGATATAGTGAATGCAGGGTCCTGGGTTTATCATCACTTTCATTTATCCTGACCCTTTTATGTTATACAGTATGGTATTTAGCTCTTGTGTCCCTCCTAGCTTCCTTCCTAATAGTTCACAAAAAGATGTTTTACCCTTGGCAGCACTTCTAAAGCAAGAAGAACTTTTGTGTGCAAAGTGCAATACACAAGACTCATCAATGGCTACAGAAATTGAGAAGAGTTGAGCTTGCGTTTGTTTGTGACAAAAGTGTGTTTGCTTGAGCCAGGTGCACAATCACTAAGAAACCACATCAAATACATAATAAACATAATGCAGGAACATAAAGAATTAAAGTATACTAAATAAATGCATGTGTGTCCTCAGGATCCCAAACATTGTTTAAAGATGTTTACTTTCCTCAATAAGACTACAATGGCGGGCACACCCATTCCAGCTGTGTGCATGGACTGTAAGAATTACCTGGAATTTACATTTATAGATTATTTTAAAGTTATTTCTTTATAATGACAGTATTTTATAAGAATATAAATAGTAATATGCAGTATATGTGTAGATTATCTTTCTGATGTATATCAATTTATATGCTGTGTTCCTCTCTTAGGAGGTGCAATATCCAACATGTACAGTATCATGGCTGCTCGCTACAAATACTTCCCAGAAGTGAAAACCAAAGGAATGGCTGCTGTCCCCAAACTGATCATCTTTACCTCAGAACATGTGAGTGCATACTAACTACATTGTTTTCACAAACGTATTAGGCATAAAGAGAACATACTGCAACAGGTCAGGACTTGTATCAAAGTTTCAAGCCTTGAAACAAGTAAAAATTCAGCAAAATTAGTAAGGTTTGTGTAAAGCGGTATTAAACCCAAAACCAAAAATGTAGTATATTGTAGCTTAACCACTTGCCCACCGCCCTATAGTAGAAGTACTGCTACAGTGCGCAGAGATGCGCAAAATCACATGTACTGTATTTTCCGGCATATAAGACGACTTTTTGACCCTTCAAAATCTTCTCAAAAGTCGGGGGTCGTCTTATACACCGGTATACGTCAGGGCGGCACTTTTTAGGGGGGCGGCGCGGTGCCGCCGCCTTCCTCCCCCTTCCAACCGAAGGGACACCAAGTACAGGGGTGGGCAGAGGGCTGCTCTCTCTTACCTGCTCCTTCAGTCACTCCGGCCACTCCCTCACGCCTGCCGCTCGGCTCCGCCTCCTCACGGGTGATTGGCCGCCAGAACTGTAGCTCAGGAAAGGCACACAGGTGGCCAATCACGGGCGAGGAGGCGGAGCCAAGCGGACCCGCAAAAATCGAGTGAGGGAGCCGGTAAGTGTGCAGTGCAGAGGTGCTGCTGCAACCAAATATGCTGGCTGCAGCAGCACCATACTGGAACAGGGGTCAGCAAGTGTCATTGGTGTCAGTGGGAGGAATAGTGCCGCATCATTGGTGTCACTGATACTAAAGATGGGGCATTATTCCTCCCACTGACACCAATGATGGGGCACTATTCCTCCCACTGACACCAATGATGGGGCACTATTCCTCCCACTGACACCAATGATGGGGCGCTATTCCTCCCACTGACACCAATGATGGGACGCTATTCCTCCCACTGACACCAATGATGGGGCACTATTCCTCCCACTGACACCAACGATGGGGCACTATTCCTCCCCCCACTGACGGGGTACTATTCCTCCCACTGACACCAATGTTGGGACACTATTCCTCCCACTGACACTAATGATGGGGCACTATTCCTCCCACTGACACCAATGATGGGGCGCTATTCCTCCCACTGACACCAATGATGGGGCACTATTCCTCCCCCCACTGACGGGGTACTATTCCTCCCACTGACACCAATGTTGGGACACTATTCCTCCCACTGACACCAATGATGGGGCACTATTCCTCCCACTGACACCAATGATGGGGCGCTATTCCTCCCACTGACACCAATGATGGGGCACTATTCCTCCCACTGACACCAATGATGGGGCACTATTCCTCCCACTGACACCAATGATGGGGCGCTATTCCTCCCACTGACACCAATGATGGGGCGCTATTCCTCCCACTGACACCAATGATGGGGCATGATTCTTCCCATTGACACCAATGATGGGGTGCTATTCCTCCCACTGACACCAATGATGGGGCACGATTCATTGCTCTGACACCAATGATGGGGCACGATTCCTCCCACTGACACCAATGATGGGGCACGATTCCTCCCACTGACACCAATGATGGGGCACTATTCCTCCCACGGACACCAATGATGGGGTGCTATTCCTCCCACTGACACCAATGATGGGGCACGATTCTTCGCTCTGACACCAATGATGGGGCACGATTCCTCCCTCTGACACCAATGATGGGGCACTATTCCTCCCACGGACACCAATGATGGGGTGCTATTCCTCCCACTGACATAACACCAATTCCTCCCACTGACACCAATGATGGGGCACGATTCTTCGCTCTGACACCAATGATGGGGCACGATTCTTCGCTCTGACACCAATGATGGGGCACGATTCCTCCCACTGACCAATGACCAATGATGGGGCACTATTCTCACCCACTGACACTAATGATGGGGCACCTTCATTGGTGTCAATGGGAGGAATAGTGCCTCATCATTGGTGTCAGTGGGAGGAATAGTGCCCCATCATTGGTGTCAGTGAGAGGAATAGTGCCCCATCATTGGTGTTAGAGCGAGGAATCGTGCCCCCATCATTGGTGTCAGAGCGAGGAATCATGCCCCATCATTGGTGTCAGAGCGAGGAATCGTGCCCCATCATTGGTGTCAGAGCGAGGAATCGTGCCCCATCATTGGAATACCATACCATATTGAAATCAAATCTTATGTTTTTTAATTTTTATTTGGTGTGCATTGGAAGAGGGGTAGTCTTATACAGCAAGTATAGCCCAAACCCTATATTTTAACAGGAAAAGTAGGGGGTCTTCTTATATGCCCAGTCGTCTTATACGCCGGAAAATATGGTAAATATGATTTGCATTTCCGGGTAGGGGGAGTGTGCGTGTGCTGCCCTGTCCACGGCGCTATTGGCGGCTAGGGATGTCAATCACCGGGCCCAGCCGGAGATTCCCCGCCAGCACCTGGCGATGGCCGTGTAAAGCTGACAGAAGAGAGACCTGTGTGTAAACAACACAGGTTTCTCTCCTGCCAGTACGGACATGCTGCTTTGTATTTCTATGGAGGTTTTTTTTTGGGGGGGGGGGGGGGTTTGGTTATTGCATGATTTTACCCTACTGTTAAGGTTTTAATTTTTTAAGGTTATGTTATAGCTAATAGTAGTTAGTCACACTCAGCTAGACTTGTCATGTACCATTGGAAGAGGTTTTTTTCCCAGTCCTGCTAATTAAACAAGTCCAGTTGAATGTGACCAACTGCTACTACCCAATACCCTAATACAGTGGTGGGCAACCTTTTTTTTCAACTGAGCCAAATCTCGCCAAAACCACGATTGAAATTTATTTTGAGAGCCACATTTTTAAAACTGAAAATACATCCCCCATATAGTAATTCATCCCCCATAGTAATTCATCCCCCATATAGTAATTCATCCCCCATATAGTAATTCATCCCCCATATAGTAATTCATCCCCCATAGTAATTCATCCCCCATAGTAATTCATCCCCCATATAGCAATTCATTCCCCATATAGTAATTCATCCGCCATATAGTAATTCATCCCCCATAGCAATTCATCCCCCATAGCAATTCATCCCCCATATAGTAATTCATTCCCCATAGTAATTCATCCCCCATATAGTAATTCATCCCCCATAGTAATTCATCCCCCTCATAGTAATTCATCCCCCATATAGTAATTCATCCCCCATATAGTAATTAATCCCCCATATAGTAATTCATCCCCCATAGTAATTCATCCCCCATATAGTAATTCATCCCCCTATAGTAATTCATTCCCCATATTAATTCATCCCCCATATAGTAATTCATCCCCCCTATAGTAATTCATTCCCCATATTAATTCATTCCCCATATAGTAATTAATCCCCCATAGTAATACATCCCCCATATAGTAATTCATCCCCCATATAGTAATTCATCCCCCATAGTAATTCATCCCCCATAGTAATTCATCCCCCATATAGTAATTCATCCCCCATAGTAATTCATTCCCCATAGTAATTCATTCCCCATAGTAATTCATCCCCCATATAGTAAGTCCCCCCATAGTAATTCATCCCCCATAGTAATTCATCCCCCATAGTAATTCATCCCCCATATAGTAATTCATCCCCCATATAGTAATACATCCCCCATAGTAATTCATCCCCCCTATAGTAATTCATCCCCCATAGTAATTCATTCCCCATAGTAATTCATTCCCCATAGTAATTCATCCCCCATATAGTAAGTCCCCCATAGTAATTCATCCCCCATAGTAATTCATCCCCCATAGTAATTCATCCCCCATATAGTAATACATCCCCCATATAGTAATTCATCCCCCATATAGTAATTCATCCCCCATATAGTAAGTCCCCCATATAGTAAGTCCCCCCTGTGTCAATTCACTTACCTTTGCTCCGCGCGTTCCTCTCGCCGTGTTCCCTTCGCCGTTCTGGTCTTCAGGGCGGACTGTGAGAGGAGAGGAGTTTGTCACGCTGCCCCACCTACATCCTGACAGCTGCAGAGTCCTGACTTTTGGGGCGGCCGCCCGAGAGGAGGGGGGGGGGCGGCCACCCGAGAGGAGGCAGGGGAGCGGGCGGCCCGCCCGAGAGGAGGGAGCGGGCGGCCGCCCGAAGAGGAGGGAGAGGAGGGAGGGGGCGGGCCCGCCCGAGAGGAGGAGGGAGGGGTGCGGGCGCCCGGCACACAGAAGAGCCGCATTTAAGTTTGTAAAGAGCCGCATGTGGCTCGCGAGCCGCGGCTTGCCGACCACTGCCCTAATAAATTCACTCACAATTGCACAACTGAGGCAATGTGAGAGAAAAGTCAGTTAATTTAGTATCATGGGTGGGCTTCCAAGCAAGGTGGCCTAATGACATAGATGTCATAGAGCAGTTTGATTTTTCTGAAAGGGGAGCAAGTTGCTTGCTACATTACCTACATATTTGCACAGAACAGGGAGGGGTCACTCAGTTTTGTATGTAAAATTGAGCTTGGGCTATTCAGCTCCATAGACAACTTTTTTTTTCATTTAACAGCTAATAATAGATAAGTAAATAGCCTGGAACTTAACCTAATGACAGTAATCTAAATATAAATTATCCAAAATCTATATTACATTTTTACCTGATTAAAAGAAAAGAAAAATACTTGGTAAAAAATGCATATTTTTAATCCCAAATATATTAAACTGTATCTAAAGCCAATGCTTTGGATAGAGTGTGGAAGCAACCCTGCTACATTTTTATCACAATCTAACTAAGGAATACCTAGGAATATTCACGATCTCTGTATGTCCTAGTTACCAATGTCACCTGGACGGAAAATGAGGGAGCATAAAAAAATTTAAACCTGAATAGAAGAGAAGGGTTTCAATGGGGACAATTGCAACTACCTACAGTGCCTTGAAAAAGTATTCATACCCCTTGAAATATTCCACATTTTGTCATGTTAAAACCAAAAACATAAATGTATTTTATTGGGATTTTATGTGATAGACCAACAAAAAGTGGCACATAATTGTAAAGTGGAAGGAAAATGATAAATAGTTTTCACAATTTTTTTTACAAATAAATATGTGAAAAATGTGATGTGCATTTCTATTCAGCCCCTCGAGTCAATACTTTGTAGAACCACCTTTACCTGCATTTCCAGCTGCAAGTTTTTTTGGGGATGTCTCTACTAGCTTTGCACATCTAGAGAGTGATATTTTTGCCCATTCTTCCTTGCTAAATAGCTGAAGTTGTGTCAGATTGGATGGAGAGCGTCTGTGAAAAGCAATTTTCAAGTCTTGCCACAAATTCTCAATTGGATTTAGGTCTGGACTTTGACTGAGCCATTCTACCACATGAATATGCTTTGATCTTACCCATTCTATTGTAGCTCTGGCTGTATGTTTAGGGTCATTGTCCTGCTGGAAGGTGAACCCCCGCCCCAGTCTCAAGTCTTTTGCAGACTCTAGCAGGTTTTCTTCTAAAATTGCCCTGTATTTGGCTCCATACATCTTCCCATCAACTCTGACCAGCTTCTCTGTCCCTGCTGAAGAAAAGCATCCCCACAACATGATGCTGCCACCACCATGTTTCACGGTGGGGATGGTGTGTCCAGGGTGATGTGCAGTGTTAGTTTTCCGCCACACATAGAGTTTTGCTTTTAGGCCAAAAAGTTCAATTTTGGTCTCATCTGATCAAAGCATCTTTCACATGTTTTCTCTGTCTCCCACATGGCTTCTCACAAACTGCAAATGGGACTTCTTATGGCTTCCTTTTAACAATGGCTTTCTTCTTTCCACTGTTCCATAAAGGCCAGATTTGTGGAGTGCACGGCTAATAGTTGTCCTGTGGACAGATTCTCCCACCTGAGCTGTGGATCTCTGCAGATCCTCCAGAGTTACCATGGTATTCTTGGCTGTTTCTCTGATTAATGCTCTCCTTGCCCAGCCTGTCATTTTAGGTGGACGGCCATGTGTTGGTAGGTTTACAGTTGTGCCATACTCTTTCCATTTTCAGATGATTGATTGAACAGTGCTCTGTGAGATGTTCAAAGCTTGGGATGGTTTTAAACCTGCTTTAAACTTTTCCAGAACTTTATCCCTGACCTATCTGGTGTGTTCCTTGGCCATGATGCTTTTTTGTTCACTAATGTTCTCTAACAAACCTCTGAGGGCTTCGCAGAACAGCTGTGTTTATACTGAGATTAAATTACACACAGGGGGACTCCGTTTACTAATTAGGTGACTTCTGGAGGTGATTGGTTCCACTAGATTTTGGTTAGGGGTATCAGAGGATCGGGGGCTGAATGCAAATGCACGCCACACCAGGGGTGGACTGACCATTTCAAAACTCGGGCACTGCCCAAGGGCCGGGGTCAGTAGGGGGCCCCATGAGATGCCCCTGGTACCTTTTTCATAGGCTGTTTTGAGTTTGGGCAAGGACACAGGGGCCCCATGATCCCCTATTACCCGGGGGCCCCATGAGTTGTCAGTCCGCCCCTACGCCACACTTTTCAGATATTTATTTGTTAAAAATTTTGAAAACAATGTATCATTTTCCTTCCACTTTACAATTATGTGCTACTTTTGTGTTGGTCTATCACATAAAATCCCAATAAAATACATTTACGTTTTTGGTTGTAACATGACAAAATGTGGAAAATTCGAAGGTGTATGAATAGTTTTTCAAGGCACTGTAAGAGAAAATGTCCCTCACTTTGGAGAGATTTCTTCTATTTTTCTATTGTGCCTATGAGACAGAAATAAAAAGGAAACTTTTTTTCAAAGGGACACAAATGAAACAATAAAACTACTATTTAACTCTTTCCTACTCTATTCAAAACTAAAAGAAACCATTTTGGCTTTGAATATACTTTAAATAATAAGAAAATATATCTACAAAAACTCTGTAATCATGTTTTATTGCTCATTCATGCTGGAATGCGGTGCGGGAGAAACGTACTCCCGTGCAGCCTCCTGCACTGCATTCTGATCACAATACCCTTGTGATCCGCTGCAGGGGGTCAGTTAAAGTTAATGACACCCCGAACACAGGTTGCAAATGCACTTCGTTTTCCCACACCAGCCCGCACCAAACCGCATGATACAAAGTACCATGCGATGCGGTTGCTGTGCATTTAAAAAAAAGTAGTGCATGCACTACATTTAGTGCGGTGCAGTGCGATTTCATCCCATTCAAATAAATGAGCATGAAATTGCACCACATAAACCCGCATATGAGTCACACAGGAACGCAGAGCATGTTCCTGTACAATTCATATTAGGGCATAGTGTAAACCGGCCCTTAAGTGTTACTAAATCCAGGCCCTGGCATTCACTATATCTGGTCTCTCACAGTACACAGAACATGGAAATGAAATTATTTTAGTAAATATAAACTGTTAAATACCTTTTCTCATCAGCAGTTAGAGCAGTCTTGTGACTTCTATTAGTGTCCACTCAAGCACATGTTAAAGCTTGTAGGAGGAGTTTCCTTTCTGCTCTAGGAGGATGCAGAACCCCTAACCTTTGTCTGGACAGTGCTGATTGGCCCTGTGCTGATCACGTGCACTCTCCCAAGAAAAAAAAAAGTCCTCTCTAGCAACAAACACCAAACTGAGCATGTGCAGAGTGTCTCCACACATATGTCTTATCAGGAGATAAGAGGGGGACACTGGAAAAGGGGAGGATCAGAGAAGTCAGGATCAAACAGCATTTTTACACAATGCACAGGATTAACCCCTTAGGTTCCACAGTGATTATAACAAGCATACTTTACTGCATATACAGACTGATTTTACTGTTGTGGGTTTAGTAACACTTTAGTCTTCTGATTGAATATTGGGAGGTTTGTATTCCAACAAACACACTCAAACCTGTATGGGAACCACATGAATGGGCCTTTTTCAACCCATAGCATACAAATGCCATACCCTTTATTTGATTCTGATTGCAATTTGACAAAAAATAAGGTACGCTTAAAATTGTAATAGTTTCACCTCAAGGTTTCATTGCTGAAGATCCATTCCATACCTTTTCTTAGAAATTAAACTGCTTCACTCTTTCTCAATATACAATATTTATCTTATCCCAGAGTCACTACTCTATGAAGAAAGCTGGAGCCGCACTAGGATTCGGGACAGACAATGTCATTCTGGTGAAATGCAATGAGAGGTAAGCAACTTTGAAAATGTAAACTAGTCATGAGAGAAATAGCGAGGGGGCCATTACTGGTTTTCTACTGAAAATGCTAGCTGCCTGGCTATTATTTTGATTGGTCAAAAATGGGAGGCAGAAATAGAAGTCAACTGTCCTTTTCTACATGCTTGCAGTGACTCAAGTAGTCAATATGATAGCAGGCCAAACTGCATTTTCAATGAGAGAGGTCAGAAGTGGCAACCTTCATGCTTTTCTCAAGACAGGTCTTCTTTAAAGCATAACATAACGGCCATATTCACAAACTTGTGCCTAAAAACAGACAGGTGTGAATCTGGTATAAATAGCAGGCTGTCCATTTATCATACCAGGGGAAAAACACATAGAATAGGTGATTGTATTGCATTTCATATTTTAAATTAAAAAAAAAGTCCAATCTTAGGTTATTGTGTATCTTGTCATTTACAGGTAGCAATATGAATTTTGTATACAATAAAATTATATTGAGCGGTAGAAGTCTCCAAGGACACCTTCATATCTCCATGATTCTATGTGGTGGATTTCCAAAACGGCCTGTACAATTATTTTGAGCACTGCAACTCACCTTTTGCACAAAACTGATATTTTAGTTTTTAGTATATACTTTAGATTTATACTGTTTCTTATAATTCCTGGGTTCTGTGCTTGAGCTTCTGTGTCTGCCAACCTTCTGTAGCCATTATGGTCCTCCTAACCTGCTAAATACTTTATTTTAAATGACAAGGATTGAAGCAGGAGATGGTGAAACACCCAAATCTCCTAAGTGGAAAATAACAGAGTGAGAATTATGGCAGAAATATCTTACTTTTGGAGTGAGGAGCTGACTAGGAGTCTACCATGTTCCACGTATAACTAAAAAAATACATGTAATTGTCCCTTTAATTATGGGAATGGATGATAACCAAGAGCGATGGCGAGTACCTCTGTCTCCATGCTGTTCTTTGATGGTTGCACTTGCATGCTAAAGGGAAGACCCAAATCTAGCTTTGCTGTGTGGAAGTTTGGAAATGGTGGAGTGACAGAGCTCACTTGCTTCAATCAGCTGCTGAGAATGCTGCAAATCAGGTAAACTAAAACATAGATGGTTCGAATCTCGGTGGGTTTTTCAGGGGCCTGGCCGAAATTTGAACCATGTATGGGCAGGCTGATTGTCCTGAAGTTGATCAATCAACTTGGGTACAACAAGCATTTCGGATTTTTCATGCGATCATTGCCAACTGCCAGAGCAAATCGCTGTGTGTTCTCCTGGCAGGAATGTTTTTTTCTCCCCACCGGGAGGCATTCCCCCATCAACACTGACTGCAGGAAAGAAAATCACACCATCTATGGCTGGCGCAAGCCTATGCTTCCACCACGTGTCTGATGAAGCGATGACTAACCATGAAACGTGTTATATGATGTTTAATAAAGTTTGCTCTTTAATGAAGCTTGAGATATATCTATTTCCTGTGACTTGGGCACCTCAGCTACCTTTCAGGTTATGGTATAGCTAATAGTAATTAGTCACACTCAGCTAGACTAGTCATGTACCATTGGAAGACGTTTTTCCCAGTCCTGCTAATTAAACAAGTCCAGTTGAATGTGACCAACTGCTACTACCCAATATCCTAACAAACGCACTCACAATTGCACAATTGAGGCAAATTATGGGAATGGATGAAAGCCTGCTTGCCTGTAGGGATCTGTAATAAGTATTTCAAGACTGGATTTGTATTGGGTATTCTGGTGGACTGTGAAGTTGAATAAGGCATTGGTACTAACTGCATCCAGTCATCGTTTAGCTGCCATCAATTGAAAAGCAGACACAAATATTTCACATTGGATTGGTCAACATATCAATTTTTTTATGTTTTCCAGTTTTATACAATATTCATGTGGGCTATATAATTGGAAAACTTTAAAGGCTAAAGCCTCTAATACTGTATTTGTTCTAAAATGATCTAGAACTTGAAATGTATTTAAGAGATAAAATATTCCTTATAGTAGTGAGGGAGGGACATTGCATTGCCATGTGTCACATCACTAATGGCCTGTATAAAGAGCCCTATTAAATAGCATTTTCTGCAGCTGATGTTCTCTTTCTCTGTGTCTGTTTCATTTCACACCTGACAATTTCTACTATAATTACAGAGGAAAGATCCTTCCTGCTGACTTGGAGGCCAAAATCCTTGAAGCTAAACAAAAGGTTGGTAGAATTAGTAAAAGCTTTACTTGTAGTGAAATCAGTGACTTTAAAACACAAACTGGAGGTATAGTTTGTTTGGGGAAATCAATTTAGGGCTTCTCATTTTAAAATGAAGAAATAAATGAGCATAAAAAGAATTGCTGCCCACAGTAACCACTCCATACTGACTAATATGGAAAATGTTTAATTTTCACTCTTCTGCTCATTTCTTGTTTCCAGTTTTAATTAAAAAGCCCCTTTATAGGTAAATAAAACAATGCATAAAACATATTTTAAATAAACATTGTGCGTTGTAAAGTAAGTGAAATGTGTAACCATTTTAGCTATGTAATGTTTTGGTGTCTAATACCTAACTGCACCAACTCACTTTTGCATTCAGAAATGCAAAGGACAATTCATAGCTAACAGACCATTCCTCCCTCTAGAGCAATGTTTCTCAACCTTTTTTCAGTCAAGGCACCCTTTAAAATTATGGACAGTCCCGAGGCACCCTTTAAAATTATGGACAGTCTCGAGGCACCCTTTAAAATTATGGACAGTCTTGAAGCACCCCATTCTAAAATAGGGTGCCTCTAGACTGTCCATAATTTGAAAAGGGCACCCCATTCTAAAATGTGAAAAACTATTCTAATAGTTTTATGTAACGCAGCAACATCCACACATGTAAGACACCCAACATTAGAGGTGATTTATTCTTCCAAAGCAAATACACTTTTGTGCACTGATACTGACTAGTATTTCAATGTTTCTCTTCCTCATCCCCCGTTTTTCTCCATCACTGAGCTAATGTGACCCCAGCACTGATGGAGAGGGGCAGGGGAGAGTCAAACAAGGATGCTGTGCAGGCAGCTGACATCCTCCTTATCAACGGATGATGTGATTGGTTGTCAGGATGCCGGTGGCTAAAAGGTCATAATGGTGCACAATGAAAACCTGTGGCTTTGTGTAACTAAAAGGCACGGTTGTTCCACCCTCTGGCTTGTATACAGGTTTTGGACAATTTTTAGACATTTTGCCAAGGCACCCCTGAAGAAACTTCAAGGCACCCCTGGGCACCCTCGTTGAGAAAGGCTGCTCTAGATTGTTATAAGATATAGCTAAAGACTACATGACTTCAAAGGTTGTGATGGCATCCTAAAGTAGGGAGCAAGCTCGGTCAGTAAAAACAAATCAGTACATCATTAGACAAAATACTTTAAATGCACACGATCAAAAATTCATACAATTAGAAAAATATCACAAAAGGTGCAAATGCTCACTGGGATTTAACTACAAATATAAATTTCAGAACAAATAACTTCTAATAACAAAAGGTATCGTAAAATCAAAAGTGTAAGCAAATCTCAATTGCCAATAGAGAGAACCATAAAGAAATCATCAGTCAAATGAACTAAACTTATGGGGATCAAAAAGTGGTAAGAAGTGAAATCTCTTTAGGATCCGAGTAACTCTTAGAGGGGGCTTTTTGTTCCCCTTGAAGGGCAATATTGCAGTTTGTCTTAGCAGTGCGTTAACATGGGTTGCATTATAAGAGCCCATTTAAATCATTGGGCTGCCAATGCGCCCTAACATGCCAAATGTCAGACGTGACCCTTCTTTTGTAACACAACGCAGTTGTGTTGCTTTAGGGTGCTATTCAAAACGAATGGCACCGCAACTCAGTAATACATGTTATGTCCATTACCACAGGTTGAGGAAACAAACGTGATAAAGCGTATTATCAAAATGTGTTTGTGTAAATGCAACCTAAATGGTATCTTTTTTTAAATGTTGTTACTTTTTGCTGTTTATTCGCTACTTATTTGTTACAATAAAAAGCTTTGTATGTAGAAGCATTCAGTTATGATTGCAACATCTGTGCAGGAGTCCTTCCTTTTTAACATTTTGTACATAGATCTTGAGCTCTAGGTCAGGACATCATTCAGTATAGTTACAGTATATATATGTAGTACTACCCTTGTAAGGGCCACTGGATTTGTTTGAGTCCCCCTAAGCTTTGTACGGCCAGGAAACACTCATTTTCCACACTTGTACTTTCAGAGTCAGTAAAACAGTCCTTGAACTTGGTTTTATGTTTTTTTTTTTATAAGGGTTTAGAACTTGGATGGGGTCTAGGGATATATGGGATGCTCAAGGGACTGCAAACTTGAGGACAAACTTCATATCAAGTATGTACAAAAAGAGTGGACTGGCAAAAATAAAGCACTGTTCCATTTTCGGTGTACCTCCTCAGACCCTGGATGAATCCTCCTCTTCACCCAACTGTGCTGAGGGTATCCCTGGGTTGGGTGTCATACATGACTGCCCTCTCCCCTTATCTGGTCCAAGGGGTGTACTAGTACTCACACTGTCCTGTCCTGTCAGCATGGTTGGTTGGTAGCTTCTTTCATGGCCTTTAAGTGGGCTGGCTCTTTCCCTGCTGCTCAGGATGCCCTCCCCAGGAGACTTTAGACAGTGGAGATCCTCCCTTTCAGCAACCTGCCTGTAGGGAAGCTCCCTTCCCTGGGATCCCCTTCCAGGCTCCACACTCCAGCCTTCGCTCAATCCATCTTCCAGCCGACTCCCCTTGCTCCGCAGGCTGTCATATTTGAGGGTTGCCCTGGTCGCCATGCCCAGACTCCTGCCAGGGGATTGGCCAAAGTTCCTCAAACATGCAGATCTGGGCCTCCTCCACCCCTGTTCCAGAAAGTTCTTAAGTTTCTGGAGAGATGGGACGTCTCCAGATGTCCTGACTTGTAGAATCTCCCAGCCTGTCCTGAGGTGAACTCACTACCTCACTCCCAGGCTGACCCATCCCAGGTTGCCACTCAGCCTCTATCTAAGAAAATAAAGAAAACAACAAACCTATCTAGCTAACCTAGAGGGCGTTACATATTATTGTTATTATTTTACAAGATTTATTTAGCAATTACGTGTATACTTACATCAATGTGTACATTACAGGGACATGTCCCACTTTATGTCAACGCTACAGCTGGGACAACAGTATACGGAGCATTTGACCCCATAGATGAAATTGCAGACATATGTGAGAAGTACAACCTTTGGCTTCATGTGGATGTGAGTAAAGGTCACAAAGTGTTCTAATTAATTGTCAGCCCTGAAGCAGTCATTGTCACTTGACTTGTATTCTTCTTATTGGTACAGGCTGCATGGGGAGGTGGACTACTCATGTCTAGGAAGCATCGCCATAAACTAAATGGAATAGAAAGGTGAGCAAGTAATAAAGTGTGATTATACCTGTGTCTGTCTTAGCACCAATTATACCTAATATCATTTACAAAGTAAACGTTTTTCTATCAGCTACCTGTTTTTGTGCCCCCTTGCAAACATGCAGGCAGAGAAGATGGGGGTATGACATTGTATAGTGCCTGCTCTCAGGCAGGACTAAGTTAAGTAGACACTTAGGAAATGCTGGCAAAATAACCTTGGTTAAAGGATGTATGATTATATCTGGAGCCCTGAGACTGGAATCTGAACTACATATACTGTCATGTACTGAAGAGGTCTGACACCCTTCCAGGGCTACTGTTAGAAACCATGGGGCCCCATACAGCCAACCTGACAGGGCCCTCCCATAAAAAAAAGCAGTTTACTATGCTTCAGTTAAGAATGAACAGCATGAGTGATCAGTACCAATCACTTATTGTGGTCATTCAGAAAAGGAAGGGGCTGGTAAATGTGACATATTTAGAGGACCCTTCCCCAACTCTCCATCCTGAAGGATCCTACTGTGCAGTTGCAGCTGCTGGTGGGAAGGAGGGTAGGGAAGTCAGCAGCACTGCGGGGGAGGGAGAATACAGGGGGGTCTGGGTAGCAGGCGGAAATGTATGATGCACAGGGAGGGTGATAGGTGCACTGGGGGGGGGGGCAATTACTGGAACCGGTCCCCTGTATGGCTCCCGCTGCAGCAGCTGAAAGCCAGTACGAGGGAGAGGAGAAGAAGCCAGCTTTCAGCTGCTGCAGATGGAGCCAAACAGGGGATCGGTTCCAGTAATTGCCCCCTCCGCCATGCTGATCACCCTCCCTGCCCACATCCAACTCACCCAGCTGCATGGGCCCCCATACTGGCCTGGGCCCCGTACAGGAGGTCTGGTGGTACCCCTTTATCCACAGCCCTGCACCCTTCACACATTTTCTGTATCAAAAGAGACTTCTAGAGGTCCAAATTATAATGCAGGGTTAGGAGATCACATAAAAAAATATGAGTAGGCTCCAACAACATTAATATAGACGCATAGGGGTTGATTTATAAAACTGGAGAGGGACAAATCTGGTGGATCTCTGCATAGAAACCAATCAGCTTGTAACGTCAGTTTGTTCAATTAGGCTTTGACAAAAAACCTGAAAGCTGATTGGTTTCTATGCAGAGCTGCACCAGATTTTGCACTCTCCAGTTTTAATAAATCAACCCCATAGTTGATTAGCTGTTTAGGGTCCTTGGCAAGAAAAGTATAATTCTAGAGAGCCTGCATTAATTATAATTGACCTACATTTTATCATTTACAGTAAGTCCCCTACTTACGAACAAGTTCCGTTCTGGGAGTTTGTTCATTAGTCCAGTTTGTTTGTGAGTCCAACAAAGTAAGGTTTATAGTACTTTTCACACAAATAATGCATAAAAAACACAAGAAATACTGTAAAGAAAGGATGTTTAATCTTACAGTACCTTGAGAGGTCCAGTAGTACAGTACAACAGCTGCCATACAGGGGCTGGCATTGAGTGACCAGACAAGGCCGCTGCTTTTATGCTTGCTTCCAGACATCCTAGGCTTGAAATCAGCACTGTACTAATGTACACTATTGTATATACAGTAAAGTACACAGCAGAACAACCGCAGAGGGTGCACATAGCTGACATTGTCCGGGAGACACGTGAGCTACTTTCATGATTTGGCACGTGAATGCATGTTCACATCTTTGAAAGTTTGCAACTCGAATATTTGTAAGTAGAGGACTTTCTGTATTTTAAAACCTGCCTCAACAGTTATTGTGAACCTTTTTATAAAACTGCCTTAAAAACTGGAGTAACACAGACAGCCCAAATCTCATGCAGCATGTAGTTTCAGCCTGTGTCTGCAGTCCCACCTGCTGGTGAAATGTGGTATTGCAGATAGTCCAGTCTGCCAATATATTTCTCTATATTAGTGGTCTCCAAATCGCAACCCATGGGCCAGATGTGGCCATTTGCTTGTATTTATCCAGCCCTTGGGTCACTATTTCTACCACTGGCACTATTTCTCCTACTGATGTCAACCATGAGGCATCATTCCTTCCACTGACACCAACAGTGGGACATAATTCTTCCCATTCCCACTATTCAACAGTGGGTCACTATTCCTTCCACTGACACCAATAATGCCCAAGGCATAATTTCTCCAGATGACTTCAACAATGGGGCACTATGCCTCCCATTGACGGGTCACTATTCCTCCCACTGACACCAACAATGGAGCACTATTCTTCCCACTGACACCAACAATGGGGTGCTTTTGCTTCCACCAATACCAAGGATGGGGTAACATTCATCCTCCTACTGACCACAGGCACTATGTCATTATTTTACTTACACTGACCACCAAGCCTGAGGCATTGTTTCTCTCACTGACACTGGGGCCTTTTCTACTCCACCTGGCCACAGTTTGGCCCCCTCAAAGTCTGAAGGACAATAAACTGACCCTTTGCTTAGAATATTTGAAGACCCCTGCTATATATGAATGTTAAGGTGAAAATACAGTCCACTTTGTAGTTGTACCTAAGCCTAGAATAAGAATAGAATATCTCCTAAACTTGTACCATTTAGGATATGTTCACACAGCATGCAGCCGGTGATGTCACTGGCGCATGCACTTTGAAGGGACAGTACAGTATGCTGAACCTTCAGAGCTGCATGCCGCAGCCGAGGGCTCTCGCACGAGAGTGACGTCACTGCAGCTCCGGCCATTCATACTGTTGGAGCTCATGAACCTGGAAGATCAGGTGAAGATGGCTGCACCAGGGAGCCGTGACAGCGCAACACTGGAGGGCTATCTGTACAGGTAAGTCTGTCATTATGTATTAGTATGCTGTGCATAATAGTACATTATGACCTAAACTTGCAGGGGGCCCATTATTTTGTTTTTTTTTAGTTTACTACTGCTTTTACAACAGAAAACTCATCCCATTGCTGATTACCAGGCAGAAAAAAAAAACATTGGCTACATTAAAAAATCTGATTCTTCTTTAACATTTCATAGGCATTGAAATGAATGCATAAGTAAATCTGCTTCCCTGAAGCACATAATAGGCATATCTTTGTTCTCTGTTCATCCATCATCAGTGATCCAGCGCTTTACGATTTCCTCTGGAAGATGTGAAACGGGTTACGTTTTACACAGATATGCTAACAAGATGTGCTGGCCAGAGTTCAGGACATTGTGGTGACTGTTTCTCTATAACGAGAGAAAACTGTCATGTGTAATATCACTCTTCTCATTAGCATGTATTGATCAGACAGTGACCAACGAACCAAAGTTCCTGCCTTGCCCTTTTTCCATTGCCTGCGGACAAGGCACTGTGACATGACCTGTTTACGTGCCCCACTGAAATTTGACAAAAACGTCAGTAAAAATAAGGCTGCTGAAATAAAAAATGAGAGAACATCTATTGCTATAACCATCAAGGGGTCTATTGTAGCAGAGCATGAGCCCCCCAGGCAAGGGACAGACAGAACATGCTGTGCTGTGTTATATAAGATACACACATTGTATATTCATTTACAAATCATAATTTTCTTCTACAGGAGCCCTTAAGCTACCCAGAAAATAAAAACGTGACTGCGCAAGGGAAATATAAATACCAAAAGGAAGCAAAAACATAGTTGGTCTAGATTTTTCCTAATGTGCACAAAATGTCTAGTTGTATTATTATTATTATTATTATACAGGATTTATATAGCGCCAACAGTTTGCTCAGCGCTTTACAATATAAGGGAGACAATACAGCAACAATACAGTTCAATACAAGAGTTCAGTTTTGGGCACCAATTCACAAAAAGAACATTGGGGAACTGGAGAAAGTACAGAGAAGGGCAACTAAACTGATACGAGGCATGGAGGAGCTCAGCTATGAGGAAAGATTAGAGGAACTGAATTTATTCTCTCTTGAGAAGAGGAGATTAAGGGGGGATATGATCAATATGTATAAATACATCCGTGGTTCATATAGTGAACTCGGTGTAGAGTTATTCACCCTGAGGTCATTGCAGAGGAGAAGGGGGCACTCTTTACATCTGGAGGAAAAGAAATTTAATCTCCAAACACGGAAAGGTTTCTTCACAGTAAGAGCTGTGAAAATGTGGAATAGACTTCCTCAAGAGATGGTTCTGGCCAGCTCAGTGGATTGCTTCAAAAAAGGCCTGGATTTTTTCTTGGATACACAGAATATAACTGGATACTAACATTTATATGTAAAGTTGATCCAGGGATATCCGATTGCCTCTCGGGGGATCAGGAAGGATTTTTTTTTCCCAGCAGGAGCAAATTGGATCGTGTTTTGCTGGGTTTTATTTTTTGCCTTCCTCTGGATCAACTGTGGGTACGGGATTATGACTTTTTTTTTTTTTCTATGGTTGAACTGGATGGACTTTTGTCTTTTTTCAGCCAGACTAACTATGTAACTATATGTAAGAGGGTTAGGAGGGTTAGTTTTAAGGATAAAGGCATTTCAGATTTTTTGCATGGCATACTAGCACATTATGAAAGCTTTACCTTAAAACATAGCCCTCCAGAGGCACACAGTCACCACTGAATGGGCTTCCATCTTCCCCTGGTCTTCCTTCCAGGTTTGCGGGCCCATTCGAATGGCCTAGGTGCGATAACGTCACTCCTGCTCATGCATGCGGGAGTCACAGCTGCAGCATAGAGAATACTTATGCTGTCCCTTCAGAGTGCATGCACCAGTGATGTCAGAAATACTGAATATCGTCTAAACAGTGCACGTTTAGGAGATATTCCTTGTATCTTTAGGTAAGCTTTACTCTACATTTACCTGTAGGTACAAGTGTCCAAGTGGTGTTTACTACTGCTTTAAATAGGGGCTAATGTTGAAATGTATTGTATTAGCTACTGTTGGTTAAATGGAGAACTCCCAACAAATGAAAAATGCATCCCTTGGGTATTCATTCAGAAATCATTCATTGTGACTTTAAATATTACTGCTATAATTACCTAAAATACATTTTTTTTTATAAGCGCTTATAATCACTTGTACACCACATATCAAGCTGAGAGCTCCCAACTCTGTGAGCCAATCATTTGTTTGCATTGCATAGCATTGCCTTTTCTGCACAGAGAAAACCTCATCTGTACGATGAGGCTCATTCATATGAGCATGCTAACGGCAGACAGAAAAGTGAATAGTGGTGCCGCCCTCCTGCATATATTGTTTTTTTGTTTTCTGAAGAATATGTGAACCGCAAAAGTTCTAAACAGTATTTTTACTTACAAGGTAATACATTGCATTTATAGATACAGTACTGTGCAAACGTTTTAGGCAGATGTGAAGAAATGCTGCAAAGGCTGGGGCTATGGGAACATGTTGCATGTTCCACCCTAAAAACGGGTGGAAGATTGTAACATATTCCCAAAGGTGAATTTATTCTTTCAACCTGCCCTTAGGTCTTTTGGGGAGAGGTGGTCTTCTAAAAATGCTATTTTTGAGTATATTACTGTATGTTTTAGTACTCCCCCCTCTTTATCACATGCAAGTTACTTCAAATGCATCAACTCAATCTGAAGCTTCTTTCCTTGGAACGCGCAGATTCCCCAAGTGTCACTGGAAAGTCTTCCTCTTCCACTGAAACCAGCAGGGGTTAACGTCCCTATTTTTCATTTTTTTTCTGTTGATGACTGGTTTCCCCCATCAGGGGACAATGCTGTGGTTTTATCTTATGAAGGCCTCCATAACCTTGTGTATAGGGAGAAAATCCCACAGATCCCCTGGACCTCTATGACTACCTCCTCTCTTAAAATACTCTTTCAGATTTCTAGGCTTTTCCCTACGGCTGATTGGTCTAGATATCCCAATAATCCCATCTAGATTAACCCCATAGTTCCAGGGATTTCTTCTGTACCTAATGTCTCTTGTTTGACCAGATTTGATGTGAAGTATTGCTGTTTTGCTTGATTTGTTTTCCTTTTTTGTTTTTTCTTTTACTGAAACATTAACAAAAAAACATTTTTTTAATGTATACCCTTTATTTCTTTATTAGTGTATAATAAAGGACTCAGACATGTACTTACTATAACTTGTGCTCATGTCTCTTCTCTACTCTAGAGCTGACTCTGTCACATGGAATCCTCACAAAATGATGGGTGTATTACTTCAATGTTCTGCAATTCTCATAAAAGAAAAGGTAAAATGCTAAGTGGTGTGAAACAGTAATAACTTAAAATATGTTTCAAATGAACCATTTCAGAATATGAAAATGATGCCCTTAAATCAGGGAATGCTGCCGAGCTTCTCTAGTTTTTGTCTTGGCACTCATATTTCTCTGGAAGGTCCTGTGAATGAGACTGAGCAAAAAATGCAGATTAGTATGTTCTTTGGTTCATGTGTTGCTCTGTCTGCAAACCTTCTGCAGCCTCAGCCTGGACACTGGACCCCAGGAAGGCTGTATAATATGTTAATGGATTACAGTCCTACCTAGAAGCACAGAGAAATGCCTCATAAACCTGCCTGTAATGAAATATTAAGAGGACTAATGGATAGCTGTAACTAATCACACTTGTTCTTATGCAGCTATGTGTTTCTCTTGTATTCAGCTGTACTTACTCTATCTGAACCTGACAGTGTTAGAGTCACCTGACGTCAAACCTTACATACCTCACACAGAAAATGGGAGACAACGGGGGGGGGGGGGGGGGGGGATTAAAAACAGACCAACATTAAGTTGGCATACAGAGACAGACAGAGTGCCTATCTCTGTATGCTGTGTATCAATTTGGCCTATTTGCTGCTACTAACCTCTCTCCTCTTTACCTGTCACTGGTTATCAAGAATGCTGTTGTCTTCATAGCTAATAGTCTCCTAAAAGCTAGAGGCTTTGATGGCAGCCAGAGCCTGATATTGAAGCTGAAGGACTAGTTTCCCCTTCAGAGGTCCACTATCTCCTTGTGATTGACAGTAGACAGTGGGCAGATTCCATAGCCAATAGCAGACTGTATATTGGCTATGGTTCCACCCACTGCCTGCTGTCAATAACAAGAGGAGCTTACATAATGAAAAAACTGGTGGCTCCAAATCTTCATCAGGCTCTATCCACCAAGCTACAAAACTCTTCAGCCGCTGGCTATTTGTGTGACAGCTACAGTGGAAGAGAGGAATCTCAGCTGAACAAGAATGGTGTGGCCTCAGTGCACCTCCACATAACCCAGTGTTTCTCAACTCCAGTCCTCATGGACCCCTAACAGGTCATGTTTTCAGGATTTCCATTATTTTGCACAGGTGATTTGATCAGTTTCACTGCCTTAGTAATTACCACAGCTGTTTCATCTGAGGGAAATCCTGAAAACATGACCTGTTGGGGGTCCATGAGGACTGGAGTTGAGAAACACTGACATAACCAATGAAGGTGCTCGCCCCAAATATATGTATCTGTTTTCAACAAGAAGCATGACAAAATTCTAAAAATTCTCATAGACACTCTTTATGAAGTGTGACAGACGAGCAACTGTCAGACTTCAGGTGACATCTGAGGCTCTGATTACTGCTGATAAAAATTACTGTACTCATATAAACGTAAAATAAACAAGGCTCTAATATTCGGGTTGGACCATTTCTGACATTTGACAATGTTTTGTTAGTTTGATTAAATAAATAACACAATTAAAGTCAACAAACTTTGGCTTATAAGACTTTGTTCACACTTGTTGCATTGTGGGAACGCAGGAAAAATTGCATAATTTCCTGCAATACACAAAAACGCACTGCTCCTGTAAAGATGCGTGATAGTGCCATTGGTTCTGAATGGCACCCTGCGCAACTTGCTAATGTGTGCGCACTCACGCATGCCTAGACGCATGGTTACGCAGTACCATGCACTTTGGCGCAATGCAATTTTTAAAATGATGCAAGCACCTTTTTTTTACGTGTTTCTTGCAAATAGGACAACCTATAACAGAGTCTCAAAATACATAAAACAACTTTACTGTATATACAACATAGTATCTGTGTTTACTCTGATTACAAAACACATTTGTAACACTTTTCATGGTTATCGAAGATGACTACTCTCTAGGTTTTTCTTTACCTAAAATAATTACCGGTAGTAGCTTACTTGATTACAATGTGAACCAAATTAATAATACTAACAATTTTATTTTTTCAAATTCACCAGGGTATTCTTCAAGGATGCAATCAGATGTGCGCAGGATATCTTTTTCAACAAGACAAGCAGTACGACATATCATATGACACAGGAGATAAAGCAATACAATGTGGTCGCCATGTAGATATATTTAAATTCTGGCTCATGTGGAAAGCAAAGGTATGTAAAGTGATTTTCGGGGGTTTAGTTGGGGCACAGGACATGCAAATGTTTGTTGCAAAATTATTGTTATTTTAGCAGACTTCTTATGGCAATCCAAAGGCTAAGTTCACCTTTTGTAAAAAAAAAAAAAATATATAATACTGTAAATACACATGATTTTGCATATAAAAAAAGTATACACAAAATTTTTTTCCTGCAAAGCATTGCTCCACAATATGGGCAGACAGCTACACAGCTGTATGAAGTGTCAGTAAACCACAAGCGCGCTGATGAGTGCCCTGGTCATTCACTGAGAACTACAAGCCTTCTGCCACGGTGGCAGATGGGACTTGTTGTTCATTCATTTACAGATCTCTGTGAATTAATGACATTGCTGGGGGGGGCAGATCCTTGCACAGTCACGCTGTTTTTAGGAGAGGGTCCCCAGCCTGCTGTCACAAGGGGAGAACAGAGGGGTCCAAGGCTTCTGCATTAGTTGTTATGCCCTGAATACAAGTGTAACATTTTACTTAAGGTGAACGTAATATTTAATAAAGTCCTAAACACAAATACTGGCTTATTTCAGCCATATAATGTTCATACAGCAAACAAAAGTCCAAATACACAGTATACTAAACCCTGTGGCAGCTCACACACACCTAATCCAATGACTTAATCTTTTTCATCTTTCCCATTGATTAACTCTCCATTCGTTCCTAGAATTCCAGGCCAAACAAATATTGTTTAAATACAACAGGCATGTGTATTCTTACTTGTATCTTGGTGTGTTTTGTGTATGTCTTCCAGATCTGTGCAGTAATTCAGTGTTAAACTTTGCCTCTTTGGCAGGAGCTTCCTGTAAAAAAGACCAGTCACTGCTGCTCTCTCTGCTTGTGCATGGTGATTGGTCTTGTCTCCCACCCCTCCTGTACTTTTCCACAAGTGGCTTATAGTGGGTGGAACCTGCTAGGTCCTGGTCACAGCTCTCTGCTCATTACACAGTCTAGGTTCACTAACTGATTATGTCACTGTTACTTTTACAAGGTAATATTTGAGTATTCAAAATCATTTGATGAACACAAAGTGAATGTATGTCATTTGTGGCTATAAGCGTAGGAATATATTTAGTGGAATGTTTCTGTGGCTGGAGGTCAGCTTTAAAGAGCACACTTCCAAAAAATAAAGGGATATATACTTGACATCCAGAATCTCTTCTGACTGACACTATATACCTATATACAGTATACAAGTATATATACAGTACTGTATATATATATATATATATATATATATATGCATCTATACATATATATATATATACATATATATATTTCCAATTGAGGAGATAACAGCTGATTACAGTTTTCTATTAACATACAATAATGGTAACAGAGCCATATAGTGGCAGGCAAGCTAACTGTACCCAGTTGCCAGGAAAACGGTACTTTCCTGACTGCATTGTGCCAAGTGTAAAGTTTGGTGGAGGGGGATTATGGTGTGGGATTGTTTTTCAGGGGTTGGTGTTGGCCCCTTAGTTCAAGTGAAGGGAACTCTTAAGATGTTAGCATACCAAGACATTTTAGACAATTTCATGCTCCCAACTTTGTGGGAATAGTTTGGGGATGGCTCCTTCCTGTTCCACCATGACTGCACACCAGTGCACAAAGCAGGGTCCATAAAGACATGGATGAGCGAGGTTGGGGTGGAGGAACTTGATTGGCCTGCACAGAATCCTGACCTAAACCCAATAGAACACCTTTGGGATCAAATAGATTGGAGACTGCAAGCCAGGCCTACTCGTCCAACATCAGTGCCTGACCTTCTGGAAGAAAGGTCAAACATTCCCATAGACACACTCCTAAACCTTGTGGATGGCCTTCCCAGAGGAGTTGAAGCTGTTATAGCTGCCAACTCAATATTGAACCCTACGGACTAAGACTGGCATGCAATTAAAGTTTATTTGCTTGTAAAGGCAGGTGTCCCAATACTTTTGGCAATATAGTGTGTGTGTGTATATATATATATATATATATATATATATATATATATATATACACACACACACACACTAACCAGCCATAACTTTGTGATTACTGACAGGTAACGTGAATAACATTGATTATCTCCTTACAATGGCATCTGAAAGTAGATGGGATATATTATCCATGACGTTGGTGTTTTGAAAGATGAAAAAAATGGACAAGCTTAGGGATTTGAGCAACTTTGACAAGGGGCACATTTTAATGGATAGATGATCCAACAATGGATCTCCAAAACTGCAGCTATTTTGGGATGTCCATTGTCTGCAGTGGTCAGGACCTAGCAACAGTGTTCCAAGGAAGGAAAACCAGCAAACCGGCAATAGGGTCCTGGGCAGCCAAGGCTCAGTGATGCACATGGGGAGTGAAAGCTGGCCCATGTAGTCTGATCCAATAGAAGAGCTACTGTAGCTCAAATTGCTAAAAAGGTTCATGCTGGTTCCAATAGGGAGGTGTCAGAACATACTCTGCATCACAGTTTTTTGTGTATGGGGCTGCTTAGCCGCAGACCAGTTGGGGTGTCCATGCTGACCTGTGTCTGCAGACAAAAGCACTTGCAATTTGCATGTGAGCATCAGAATTAAACCATGAAGCAAAAGAAGAAGGTGGCCTGGTCTGATGAATCATGTTTTCTTTTACATCATGTGGATGGTCAGGTGTGTGTGCATTGCTTACCTGGGGAAGAGAAAGCATGGGGTGCACTATAGGAAGAAGGCAAGTCAGCTGAGGCAGTGTGATACTTTGGGTAATGTTCTGCTGGGAAACCTTGGGTCCTGCCATTTATGTGGATGTTACGTTAACATGTACCACCTACTTAAACATTGTTACTGACCAAGTACACCCCTTTGTGGAAACGGTATTTCCTGATGGCAGTGGCCTCTTTCAGCATAATAATGCACCCTGCCACACTAAAAAAATGGTTAAAAAATAGTTTGAGGAGCACAACAACAATGTTGAGGTATTGGCATGGCCTCCAAATTCTCCAGATCTCAATCCAATCAAGTACCGGTGGAATGTGCTGGAAAAACAAGTCTAATCCATGAAGGCCTTACCTCACAGCTTAGAGGACTTAAATGATCTGCTACTAACTTCTTTGTGTCAGATACCACAACATTCCTTCAGACGTTTAATGGAGTCCATGCCTCAAAGGGTCAGGGTTGTTCTGGCAGCAAAAGGGGGAAATACTCAATATTAGGTTGGTGATAAAAGGTTTTAGCTGATTAGTGTATATAATAAAATTATAATAAAATAATAATAACAAATGTTTAATTTAGTCTCAGAACTGTAAAACTGTGTACATTGGATAATGAGGTTGAAGAATATAATATTCTGAATGATTTTTTTGTCCATTAGAGGTAAATTTCCCATGTCCAAGCCAAATTTCAGTTCATTAAGAGTTCACATGATTCTTTCATTGCTTAATTATCTACTTCTTTTAGCTGCTGCTTTATACCAGTTGATAGTGTCAACTAGGACACAACCCCTGTTCCCAATTTGACAGCTGCACAGCCTCAGACACAAGCTGTACATCCCAGCATGGGCAAATACGGCCCTTGAACAGGTGTACACTGTAGTATGCTCATGTGATCAAGGCTTGAAATACATTTAATGGCAATAATCCTCTCTGTGAAACAAATCTATAATGATCATAATAATAATAATAAATAATAATAAAAATTAAAAAAAAATAATTCTACAAAACCACAAGCTTCTGCATGTTTAGTTTAAGACAAATAAAAATGGGATTTTGAATTGATATTTCTTTCTTTCTTCAAACAGGGCACTGTAGGGTTTGAACAACAGATCAACAAATGTTTGGAGCTCTCAGAATATTTATACCAAAAGGTCAGCAATCGGGAAGACTTTCAGATGGTCTTCAAAGGAGAGGTCAGTATCTCAACATTACAGTAAACAGGAAAAATCACAGCACATACAAGTAACATCTAAATATATAATACTGTATGTCCCCAATATAACAGAAAAGGTCATAGCCTGCAATTTCAGTAAGGACTAATAATCCAGTGACTGTCTTATTAGGCCCAATTGCTTAATCTTAGAAAACATTTATGGTTAGTCAACAAAAAATATAAGCATGTTAAAGATGTCAAATCCGTACTACATATTTTTAATGCTTTGGAATGTTCCTTAAAATGTATATTCATAGACTACTATAAAAGTCTATACTTTTGACTCCAAAGGGCTCTTGCACATGGGCACATTCAACCATACAGCAAAAACAAAGGGGTTTATTTAAGTACCTGGGGACTCCTTGTGCCACATAAAGCCATCCATTAACATGAATAGGTGAAGGCAGCTGTATGCAGCTATGCATCGCTACTTACTTAAAGTGACTTACGTACACAGATGTAATGTCCCGAACACACACAGCTTGCGTTCAGAACATTGCATCTGTGCAGCGCATGTGCCACTTTATACAAGAGTAGCACCTCATACCTTCATATAGCTGTCTTCATACATTCATGCATATGGGCAATTTATGGAACACCATTGGCTCCCAGGCATCAAAATATTTCCAGCTGTTTACACTGTATGGGCAAATGTGCCCATGTGCATGAGCCATAATACAATGTATTTCCATATCACTTTGTGTAGAACTATAACACTTTCTATATATTTTTCAGCCTGAACACACAAATGTTTGCTTCTGGTATATCCCCCCAAGTCTTCGGGGAATGCCTCATTGTGAAGAGAGGCAAGAGAAAAATTACACAAGGTGAGAACTGACCAATCTGTGATAAAGTATTGGGATTTGTAACAGTGTGGACACCACTTTAAAATGCATAGTTGGTATGGATGTAGATGTGGTTCTTAAACCAATAATATGTGAAGGCATTAACTGACAGATTGCCACAATATGCAGAAATGGTTCAGTCCATTCACAATTGAGAGTGCTGGAGTTGTATGCCACCAGGCAAATTCCTAAGTCTATTGGGTATTTCTATTGGTGATATCTCTGTTTTAGAGTTTCTGGGTCTGCATACATGCTGTGGCCATTATAAAGAGTTCCCACTCTACCTTTTTTAACATTATATATATTTATTACAGGTATTTTTATAGTGCCATCAATTTACACAGCGCTTTACATATAATATATTGTACATTCACATCAGTCCCTGATCCTCAAGGAGCATATAATCTAAGGTCCCTAATCCACATTCATACATACACATAATAAGGACGGTTTCAGCATGTGTTTGGAGTGTAGGAGGAAACCCAGGCAAGCACAGGGAGAACATGCAAACTCCAGGCAGGTGGTGCCATGGTTGGGATTCAAGCCAATGACCTCATGCTGCCAGGTGGAAGGGCTAGCCATTTAGCCACCATGCTGCCATAAAGTGACTTTCGTACACAGACGTAATGTCCTGAACACACACTGTACATGTAGAATGTAACAGGGTTTGGGGCACACAATGGTGGACAATAACTTCAAAACCTCCTAGGTGAATAGAAGTTGGGCTTTTCTGCAAAGCGTTCTTGTTGTTGAAACATCCAATTAGTAAACAATACCATTAACAATCTTCTGTGCTCAAGTGTGGAACCAATATTGAGGGAAGACATTCTCTACTTCAGGTATCACTAATCCATAGATATAGCACCATTTCTCTTGTATCCACTAAGCCTTGCTGCCGTCCTCAGACAGGGGTAATCCATAAGCACTACCTGTGAAAAGCAAATGAGGGCTCACAAGCCCAGTGTGTTAACCAAGTCACCATTTATTCAAAAGATAAAAGTATATCATTATACACAGCATACTGCAGACACTGATGCATTTTGAGGGTGCCCTCTCTTCCTCAGAGCTGAAATTAAATCAAAGAAAATTAAATAAAATTGAGATCATACATAGGTGTTCGTCCTTGACCAGAGTTGACAAAAACACTGCTGTAACACAGCTTCACACATATGTCGCCAATACAAACTTTGCTGTGTCTAGACCCCACACATGATGACCCCCCCCCCCCCCCATTATCCATGAGTTATCAGGTTCAGATACTTCTTTTTAGTATGCATACCTTCAGGAGTCTGATATGCCACCCTTTGAGGCAGTCAGCAGGTAAATGGGACTTTACACTTTCAATTTGGTGATTGGAGTCCATTAAAAGTAAACTTCAGGTCTATTATAGGTATGTAGTAGGTGTCACTTTAGCAAGCAAATTCTCCAACAGAGATATCTAGAAGTGGGCATAGAGAGTGACAAGCAAATACTATTTTATTCTGTTATGACCTCTTCTCTCTCATGACTAAGAAGGGAATTAAAACAACAAATGGATCCTACCCTCTTTCTCCAGTATAAATAAACCAAGTGGAACATGAAGTCCTTTACTTTCCACTTTGATTCTAGGAGCCAGTTATGGTGGAGAATAAAAAGCTAAGTAATGGAATTCCACCCATGGCCATACTGTTGCTGTCAGAATACAGAGCCATGACAGTATGAATGGACATTGTCCTATTTGATACTGAAAGTCTTTAACATGAAAGCTCCTCATACAAATGATCTGTAATGTCTAAATGTTTTATTCTCAGTGCATTGTCTTTACGTATGCCCAAAATCTGTGTGTGACATTTTTTGTTATATGTTTTAGGTTGCTCCAAAGATAAAAGCTTTCATGATGGAGTCAGGAACAACAATGGTCGGATATCAACCACAAGGGGACAAAGCCAACTTCTTCCGGATGGTCATCTCAAATGCAGCAGCCACCAAATCTGACATCGACTTTTTGGTGGATGAAATTGAGAGACTTGGGCAAGAATTGTAAAAGTTGTGCCATGTACAGTGAACCCTCCCTGTACTGGAGAAAACTATCCCACTTCCTAGTTGTTTGACTACTAGTTATATATATATTTTTTTGTGAATGAAAACAGAACTGAAATCTTAAAACGATCCCCTCAGTACGGTTCTCCTCTGGCACCTTAACAAATGTAGAATACAGAACAGTATATGTACATCATTCAAACACAAACAATATTATCTAACTTGTGTACAGTGAATCCCTATATACATGTATTTGTTAAGGTTGTCAGAAGCATACAAAACCACAGTAACTGTAACTGTTGTAATCTGTAACCACTTGTATGTCTGTGTGTAAATATTTGCAGTATGTACAGGGCCGGCCCTTGACATAGGTAACGTAGACCATTCCCTATAAATGTAAATGCTGGCAGGGCAGGATTTCTAGATTGATGAATGGCAGTCAAACTCCTTACAACTATTCCAATGTTTTTGAGACAATCTCTATTATAAGACCCCTCAAAGGCAGGACCTACGGAGAATGGATGTGAGTCAACAGAAATATAGGTGGGAAATACTTGTACTCATATGAGATTGTGGAATTCTAGGAAGGTTAAGCAGAAAGGAGGGCATTGACTATTAGGTTTAAATATTAGTTTTAAATATGATAAATGATATGCTGCATTGGCTGGCAGGGAAGTGGGGGAGGATTATTAAATATGACTTTTCCCAAGTCAAGTTATTGAGATATCAATATCCTTATCAGTTTGTCCTGGAAGCAGAATTGCTTAATTTCTTTTGAAAATGTAAGTGTCCATTACAATTTTACATATTAGCCCTTAATATAGCTTTGTGGTTAAGCTTTGGTAGGAATGTTGCTAACAACACCAACAGCTGTTTTGTAACAGGGCTTAGGGAATATTTGCTTGTTACTGGGTCTATGCTGCTTTGTGGCTTGCAAGTCCTAAAAGTCGCTTGTACAAAAAAAGTTCTGTATGAGCATCATGGAGCACAGAAATATCATACATAAGGTGCTACAGCTTATATGTAAAAAATATATTTGAACTTACTTCAGGCTGGTGGGGGAATTGTGTTATCCCATTATGTTATATTTGTATCCATTCAGTTGTCCACATGGGTTAGCTAACTCTTTTGTCATGTTTTTTTACAAGTATACCCATATATATATCAGTCATGATGTATCCAGAAATACAATAATGCAATAAAGGTAAGTGATGTTATACAAGTTAAATCAGAAACCATCTTTCAATAATCCAGGTACAGTGAACTAGTCAACATGAAGAGAAGTCTCAATAGTTGTTGGATGGTACTGTCTTTTACATTACCATTACTATTTGCTGGGTTTCACTTGCCTTGCTGGGTAAACCCATCTATATGCAAGTAGACTCAATAAAGTAGTCCAAATGGATGGAATCCTGCCTTGCAGCATTTAAACTCCTCAAAACTGTTTCCCTATAACCTAACCAGTTTGAAAAGCGTTAACCAGTAAGTAGTTGTGTATCCCCGTCTTAGTATCTTGGGGGTCATAGTAGCACAGTCCTTGTAACAGGTATATTCTTGCTGTATTTCTAGGAATTATTTTGTGTAGATTGTGTACATTATTGTCAGACAATTTTGTGAGCTGGGAATAAATGTCATAGTTTTACAGCAATTTAACTGTTAGAACTTAGGTATGATGAAGATTCTTGCTTATTTATATGCAGAGATTTACCATGTTAAAGAGGTGTCTTGTATTTTCTTCCATTTGTATTGTATTCTATTTATATATATATATAAATATATATAGTATATATTATTGAGGTAAGTTCTAAATAATGTTTATTGTAATTTTGTGTCTTTGTGAGCCAAAGAAAACTTAAAAAAAACATATAGTTGATCCTGTATCTATAATCTAGTGCCCTAAAATGTAGTTTGGAAATATTAAATATATACCTAGATTTATCAAAGGGTACTAAGATTTAGCTCTTATTCATGCCCATTTGCATGAAGGGGGTAAGTAATTTGACATAATGCCCCCCTTTGAAAAATCTAGTATGTAGGCTCATAAAATATATATATATATTTACTACCCTAGCACTTTATAACCATCAGCATTGAATAACATTCATTTATTTTTTTCCAGCTAGCTGGATCAATTCAAACCAATAATTTAGAATGTATTTTATTTGTTTGCCTTTGAATAACAGACATGTACTCACACTAAGGTTCCACACTAAAAATATCAACTTTTTGACTTTGTTAAGACTTTCTGCATTCAAAATGGTTATCAGGGTAAAAATTATGTTTCTTGGTTGCAATGACATAGGAATTAAAGTTGGGGGCCTCGAGGCAATCTAAACTAAAAAAAAAACTATTTTTCAGTTTGTTTGGTGTTGTGTCTCACTGTATACAGTTTTCTTAAGAAATTGTTTTTTGGAACTCTGTTGCAAAGTTTTCTCATCTGGAATTCCTGCTTAGAACAGCACTTCCTGCTGCAGACTGACAACGCTAAGCCACTGTCTCACAGTTGTCAGCCTGCCATGTGCACTCCTTCAGTTGGCTGTTGGGTTGCCTGTCCTATCTATCAGATAGGCAACCCAATGGCTAAAGGAATGAGTGCACTCAGCAGGCTGACAGCACTAAGCTACTGCCTTGCAATCAGCTGCAGCATTCCCAGGGAGTGATATTACTGGTAGGATCCCCAGGTAGCAAACTTTTCAACAGAGTTACAAAAAAGTATTTGGTTAAGAAAGCTGTATACAGCAAGACATAATACCAAACCACTGTTTTTATTCCTAGGCCTACTCAAGGCAGTGCAAAGAGCAAGAGCAATTATGACTAGCAATCAACTAGATTTATTCTGACTGACATCAGCTGACCAATAAGTTAATTTGAATAGGTTGCTGTGGCAAATAGCACTTTGCACATGGCTTTACTGAATAAACAATATAATAATCACCTTGAGTGCAATGGGGAGGTTTAGAAAGGATCACCATTATTTTTTCTCACTATTGTTTTTATTTACCAATCACAAGATATGTACAATCCCATTGTATATTTTTTCATATGAGTGTAATTTACAACACTAATAGTTTTATCTGTTTGTGTATATTTTTCACTGACAGGTTTCTTTGTTAAACCTCCCCATTGAGTCACCAGAGTCGCTAGGTTATGATCAATCTGTGAAGGCCAGGAATCTTTAGTGCACATATTTGAGTTCTCATTTCTGCTTCATTCAGTGCATGACACTACTGCAGTGGTATCTTGCACTGAAGTAGACTGGTGCCTCCAGCTGAAAGATAGACTTAACAATTAAAACTCTATGTGCCTCATTTGTCAGTCTGTCTGAGGAAGGAATTGTAAATGAGACCCTTGTACTCATATTAATTGATCAAATTCTTCCTCTCCAAAACTGCACTGAGAAGGAAATGAAGAAGCTGATTGGTAGGCAAGTCTGAATATCAGACAATTCTTTTCTAATGCTAGTTGCACATGCATCAATTTGTATCTATCGGTAAAGTTTCATCATATATTTCAACTGAGAAGTCATTGAAAAGAAACTGTTGTCACTGAAGATCCTATTCAGCTACTTTTCAATTCACTTAATGTTTAAGTACAAATTATTAGAAATTATATGAAAATATGAGAAATGATAATGACTAAAAATGAAATGTTATATTTTGCACAGTTTTAAACCTTAAAAAAAAAAAAACCTGTCTTGCCTTATTGCTGGTTTTTAGATTCAGCCAAACTTGGAAGCAATACAAAGCAATATACAAATGCCTATAAGACATAAATAAAGAGAACACCATGTTCACCTCAAAATTTCTTCAGTTGGATCAATCAATTGGATAAATTGTACAACTAGACTGTAATGTGTCTGAGCACCTTAAGACACATTGATAAATGAGGCCCACTAACACTAGTTCTTTGAAATTAAATGTGTACAGAAAGCAAAAGCAGAAATTGGTCTATAATTCAATAAACAGATTCATATTCATAGATGTTATTTTAGTTTATTGTCATTTTAGTGTACTTTGTTGATTTTTTCACTGTTTCCACTTTCCTATGTTTTTACAACTATGTATAGTTTTGAAATTTGCCCACATATACCTTGTCTAATGGCAGATGATACCATATAACTAATGGAGATGAATTTAATTTTTCTTGTAACATGATTTTTAACACCTTTTTTATTCTTAATGGGCAATACATATAAATCCAAACTAAATTTTTGGTACAATCATTTGACTGCCATTTTACAGTCTGATTACAAACAATATTAATGGAAGGTTTCGCGATCATCCTGTTTTTACCATTGCATAGCCTTCCTCACATCAAATTGTGTTGTGTGTGTTGTAAATTCACAAGTGTCAAATGTCTCCTGAAGTTTCACTGGTAGTGACAATCGTGCGTCAGTCGTTCTGTATCTTGTCAAAATAATTTGTTACATTCTCATTCATACAGAGCTCAGTAATTTCCTGTTAGATGAAAGCACACAGTGGTTCTATACGTATAAACAATAAAACTTGTACAGATTAAGTGCCAATGTAGAAAAAAGTAATACAATATGATTTCTTTTTTGTTTTGTTTCTGTGGATTGATCAGTCTGTAACAACTATTTAATGATGATAAAGAAGCAAAATCAAAATATATATATATATATATAAGTATTTTAGAATGTTGTTATCATTGGTGGGGTGCTAAAATATGCTGGATTATTTGATAAATCAGTTTTTAAAGAGCTGTGATGATGTGTAACGTGCAGTAACCCAAAGAAGCCAATCAGATCACAGTTTAGTGTAATCAGATTGAACTTTGATTAGTTGGTATGGCTTACTGCACTGTCATTTTTGCCTTAATGAATTACAGATCCCCAGTTTCCAAGAGGGCTCAGTTATGAACACCCTTGGATGATTGGGGGGAAGTGGGGGCAACTTGAGGGCCATGAGTCCAAATGGAAATGTGTAGAGATATGTACAGATTGACAAATATCTACCAAAACCCTACAGCCAGCCCAGATCCTGA